CGTATAAGCGTAAGAATTAACGATCGTAAAGCTTAAGGAAAGATAGTTCGAATTAATCCACGGATATATTAGGTAAAGCTAAACGTACCTTCGACTTATACCTTTTTCTTATCTAATTAATGAGAAAAGCGCTAGGACGGGCTAAAAGGGCTTCTAATAATAATCCTCGGAGTAGCCGATACTAAAACGAATACTTATTTAAATACTAATAAAAAGGCTATAATATTACCGAAGCCCTTAATCGATAGTAGGGTTTATCGCGATTACCTAAAGGCTATACTAAGGTATTAGCGAGAGCTTACTAACTACCCGATACGTAAACGCTTTAAGGAAGCCGCGTAGAAGGAGGTAAATAAGCTAATTAAGAAGCGTATATAAAGAGAAATTAAGGGCTTAGAGGCAAAGTTAAAGCCTTTTCCGTTAAAGTGGGTTTTTACCTATAAGTTTAACTAAGACGGATATTTTAAACGATATAAGGCACGCTTATGTATTTAAGGGGATTTATAGGAGAGCTTAATTATTAAAGGAACCTATATAGTAACGCTTACTATATAATCTTTTTATATTATTATAGCTTTAGCTACTTAATTTAATCTAGAGATTATATAACTTAATATCGTTAACACCTTCGTTAACGCCTAGAGGAGCAAAATAGATACGCCCATTATATACGAACTTCCTAATAGATTTAAGTAGCCCGATAAGTGTTTAGAGCTCGATAAAGCACTATATAGACTACGCGACTCGCCTCGACTATAGTTCTAGAGCTTCGCGGCCACCCTAACGGACTTAGGGATAGAGGCTAGTAAGGAAGAACTATGCCTATTCTATATAAAGGCTTAAGATATATTCGTTATTTTCTTTATAGACGATACACTTATATTATTTTATAGAGATAGTGCTATAAACGGCCTTATAGTTATTAAAGGGATTAAAACGAAGTTCGAGGTATCGGAAAAGGGGGAAGCCGATTAGTTTTTAGGTATTAAGATTAATTAAGATCGCCCTTAATATAAGGTTTTCCTCTCCTATAACTTATATATCGAAAAGATTATAGCTAGGTTTAATCTAGACGCTCTAAATACCTACTTAGTAATCCCTATTCCTGTTATAGAATACTAGAAAAAAGAAGACGAAGCCACCGCTTAAAAGATTAAATCTTATTAAGAAAAGGTCGGATTAGTGCTTTATATAGTAATTATAATACGTCTTAACATGGTATTCGCCGCCTTTATCCTCTCCCGCTTTCTTAGAAACCCCTCTTCTAAGCATTATAAGGCGGTAGATTAAGCTATTCGCTATTTATTTATAACTAGGGACCTCTTAATTTCGTACGGATTAAGCCTTAGTTTATAGGCGATAATGATCGTAAGCGACGCCTTTTTTATAGATAATTTAGATACACAAAGATCTTTATAGGGTTATTTTATTAGCCTATTTAGTGGATTAGTTATATAGAAAGTAATAAGGTAAGTAACGGTAATAACGTCTATAACCGAAGTAGAGCTACTTATTTTAGAGTAAGTAGCGAAAGAAATAATAGGATTAAAGCGTTTTTTCGTTAAAATACGCTTTAATTTAGAATCTCCTTAGGATATCCACTATGATAACACGTAAACGATACGCCTAGTAGTCGACGATAGCTTTAGGATTAAGACTAGGCTTTGCTATATAGATATATAGCGATTTTAGGTAAGGCAGGAAAACGTAAAGGGATTATGTAGAGTAGTATATCTTATTACGAATTTAATACTAGCGGACGGATTAATAAAAGTATTTCCACGATAAAAATTCAAGAACTTCTAAGTATATCTAAATATAATTAGTGCACGGAGGGGGTAAAAAAAAGTAGTTAAAGTCGAAATTCCCGCGCCCTAGGCGTACTACGCGCCGGCGGTTTAGTTAATTTAGTAAAAGGAAGGGTATATCGTTATCTTAATACTATAATACTATACTAGACCCTAAAAGTAAACCCTAAAAATATAAAAGATAATATCGGAGTATACTAGATAATTCACTAAGCTTTATTACTACTATCCTAAGCACTATCCTACGTAATATTTACGCTATTTCCTCTAATAGGAGGAGTAATAATACATCTATTCTCCTATAGAATATCTATTATAACCCCTATAAGCTAGGAGGTAAAGGTAGTAGTCGGCGTACTAGGACCCTAGTAAGAAGCTCCCTTAAGCTCCGCCTCCTAGAAGAACTTCTTATTCTCCTTATCCTCTATTAACTTAATTATAAACTTTACCGTTTATTTAAGTTTAGTAAAGAACTATACGAATTAGTTAGTTAGAGTATTTAAGTCTAGAGATAAAATATTAAACGCACCTTTTTATCGTTATTATTAGAGTCTTTATTAATTTTATAGACTATAATATAGTTAAAAAGAATTTTAACTATTTTATAGACTATAATATAGTTAAAAAGAATTTTAACTAAGGAGATAAGGCTAAAAAAGCTATAAGTATAGGTTAGCGGTTATAAAGCTTAAGAGCGTATATATCTTCGAGTTAATACGAAATATAGCGTACGATTATAATCGTAAAGCGCCTTAGATAAGGGGTAAGAACTTATAGAGGGTAGTATATATAGTTTTTATTCTTATATTTTTAATAGCGATTAGAGCGGCTAGGGACGGAAATATAGTAATTAAATAAACGCTATTTCCTAGAATAAATACCCTTTATATATTCGAGGTAAGGAGGGTCGAATAGAACCGGTATAAAAGTATCGGCGGTATCCTTATTATTATTATTTCTATTACCCTTAGTAGTCTATTAAAGGGTTAGTCGGAAATAAAGAAGATAAACTAAGGATAAACGCGCCGAAATAACTTATAGAAGCACCCTTCTTAGTACCGGCCTTACCCTTAGTCTTTTTTATACTATTAGCCAAAGCTTTCTTAGCTACCACGGCACGGGTAACGGCTAAGAGGGTAGGAGGAGCCTAGAACGAAGCTATTAGTTAGTAAGCGCTACCGACAATAAAGCTTAGATACTTACTATATCGCTGTTATTATTATTTTTACTGCTATTAATAGAAAATTAGGGAAAATTAGATCAAAATCGTTAAAATTCTTAAAAATAACGGAATAAGGGTTATAAGAGGGAAGATCTAAAAGCTCTAAAATGCCGGTATAACGCCTTTAATTTATCTACGGAAGGCCCTACTATTACCTATTTACTATTACTATTAATAGTATTTTTCTTTTATTATTTTTTTCTATTATTATTATTCTTTACTGTTTTATAGCTTTTATTCCTGCCTTTTAACTCGATATTAAGGGTAGTATAATACCCCTTTAAGGCTATTTCAAGGTTAAGAATAAGGCTAAGTTAAGGTTAGGCTAAGTAATCGTTCCGCTAATTATAGCGTAATAATTAGGGGGTGTATTATATTCTAGCACGTAAGCTATAGTATAGTGACCTCCTATTAGTTAGAGGTGCCCTACTATCCTTGCTTAGAAGGTGGTAGATATATTTAGGATACGTATACCCGCCCCTTTTCCTTTCTCTTTTATACTTAATACAATTATATATTTCCTGAATCAACGCTCTATGCAAGCATACTCCCGTTAATTCAACACTAACGGCATAATCAAAAGACTTGGGTCCGGGGGCTAAGATATAATTAGGGGGTAGGCAGCATAGACGGGCCCTAAATCCTCCGATTTTGTGGTCTGGTGCCTTCATCGTGACGCGGAGTCCTAAAGCAATGAGTCTTTCTCGGATCGCGGAATGTGACAAATGAGAGGATTCCCTTTGGCAGCGAGCTGGCAGGATTAATGTGGCGGAGGTGGAAGCACGGATGGGACGACGGTTGGCTAAATTAACGTGGATGCCTACCTTTTGAGTAGACGTATGAAGAGGAGCACCGTCTGACGAGAATTGGTGCGGGAAAGGGGGAATGAAGAAACCGAAGACGTCATTCATTGAAGCACCCTCGACCTCGGTCATGGGGTGGGGAAGCTTGTGAGTCGGAAGGGAAACTAAGGTAGGTACGATCGTGGTATCACCCAACCTCACCATCTTCGCCAACTTGTCCTCTGCCCCAAGTGGATTCCCAAGAAAATTTACAGGCGAGATCCCTCTCATAAGGTAGGTGGATGGAAAAGACAAAAAAAAAAAAGAGAGAAAGGAGATTGTCTCTCCGAAGGTCAACTCCCTGAAGGGAGTCTCGGATCTCGGATAAAAGTTCGGTCTGCACACCACCTCGTCATTACGGGCTCACGAATTGCTCGTTATTAATAAGGTATCTATCACCATCAATATCAGATTATGACTGTGGGTTATGACACTGTGCTACCATCGTGGTCCGGGCCCTCTCACACGGTCATCATTTCCCTGCCAACCCCACCTCCCCGCGTGCTCTTCTAACCGGTCCATATTTGCTTTTCCTCCACACTATTCATTATTATTAATAAGACCCCCTAATCAGACGACGATATTTCGTCGCGGATTGCCGTGGTGGTGCTAGCCCGTGAAGCCATCCCCATCGGGTGCTTCGCTGCGCTGTGCGCCAGCCCCTTTTATGAAGAGCGAGGCCTTGTCTCTTGTGGCTGCTGGGCTTCGTATCCTTCCATTATTGGAGCCGCCGACGCTCTCCAGCGACCGGCCGTCCGCTTTTGCCATCGCGATTGCCATGTCCCGAGCCCGACTCCTCCTACCATGATGCCGCGTACGATTCGCTCGCCCCGATCAAGGCTTCCGCATCTCTTATCGCCCGCTTCCTCGATTTCATGCCGTCAACCACCACGGCTGCTGCTTGTGCTCCGTGCGACAGCATCCTATACCGTTGCAACCCACTGTTTGCTCCCCGCGCTTGTCCTTCTCTGTTCCTAACAACGAAGCACTCGAAGGGTCCATTTTCCTGCGCGTCTCCGCCTTTCGGCGATCTACTACGGAAAAAGGTAGTCGGCGGCGGCTATCGACTCCGTCATCTCCTAGGGAGTCCAATCGCGCGTCACCGCGCGTCGCAAGCCCCATCAAACTATGTCGACTTCACATGCCAATGCCGTGCCTGACACGCAGCTAGGCCTGAGCAATGAAGAAATCCAACTCCTACGACAAGGGCAGGCGGCTTTGGGTCAAGGGGGAACCGGGGGCGGCTCCAGCTCCTCTAGAGCCGCCAGTCGCGCGTCTTCTCAGGGATTACTGATATTGGACAGCTCCTCCCTGACGGCCCTCGGGCGCTACTTTGACCACGTCATGTCCCAGATTGAGCAGCAGATTCTGTATCTGAGCGAGCAGAGCCAAACCTTCACCATGGCCCAGTTCGACCGGGCTGGCAACCTGATCGAAGGCGCCGACGCCGAGATTGAGCGTTATCACGATATCATAAGGCAGCTAGACGAGCTGGAACTCGATTTCGACCGCATCCGCCATATCAAAGACATTGTCAAGGGCTATCGATCCAGGGTTGAAGAGATGGAGAGAGAGCTCGAACGCAGCGGCGGCGGCGGCTCATCTTCGAGACATCGTGACGGTCACCACTCGTCCCACCGACATGGACATCGACACGGTCACGAGAGCTCCCGGCGACACCGTCGGTGACGGACGCTTGAAAAAGAAAATCACATGTCAACGAAAACCAACAAAAAAAAAAGAAGAAGAAAAAAAAAACACAAACAGCATCCCGGGCGGGTACACAGGACCGCGCGGGTCGACATACTTGGGTTACGGGACGGGGAAAAGGGGCATTTGGTTGTTTCTAAGAAGGACAGGCCTCGCGGCTGATGAGTAGGGAGAAGGAAGATGGAAGGCCTCACGGCTCGACTCGTTGGAAATGTCCTGATGATCTCTTTCGATTTCATGTTATTCTCCTTTTTGCCCAGCGTCCATAGCATGGGTGTCTTTTCTTCTTCTTCTTTGTCTTTGCGACCATCTCACCCTTATTATTTTTAGCGTGCCTTCTTTTCTTCCTGTCGACAATCTCGGCCTCGTGTTTCTCGGGAGCCGAGGTGCTCTTCTGTTTTTCTCCGGCACGCGAAAATAATACCCCTTATGCGTTTAGCGTTCGCTTCTGTCACCTCACCTAGCTAACGAATCACGATTTATATACCTCAACTGCCTCGTGGTGGGTTCTTTTTTGTTAAGAAATATGTTCAGATGGAAAGTGTCTATCAAACGGCAACGCGCTTATGGTCGTAAAATCATGAAAGTTTTGGAAAACGAGGCCCGTGACAAACAGGTGGTTGGACTCGAGGCCCACGCATTGCAAGGGACTTGGGGAAGCTAATTGCCACCGCTCCTCCCAAACACTCTCAGGCCCCAGCCACGTACCTGGGTCCTCCCATCCTCGACCTCTTCCAGTGCAAGCCGGGGTCCATCCCCCAAGACCTTCTCCCGATGCCACGACCCCACGAACATGCCCTCCGGGTCGACCTCGTCGCGGACCTTCCTCCATGCCTCCAGATCCTCGCCATACATGGCCGCCAGGTCCGCGCCACCAGCGTTAAAGTTTTTCGCCCAGTGAGGGCGTCCGCCGAGATCGCGCATGAGCCACTCGAAGGCCTCGTAGTAGCGTTCTCGGCAGGGCGGGTCACGATAGTAAGGCCGGTACAGGGTGGCGTTGAGGTAGAGGGTCGGGCCATCGGGACGGGTGGGGTCAAGGTACGGACGGGGCGCGTCGACCAAGAGGGACGTGTCGGAGACGCGGACCTCGACGGGGGCGTGGACGTAGAGTCCCTCGGCCGAGAAGGGGATGCCGTGGGGGACGTAGTCCGGGTCGTCTGGGGTGAGGTGGTTCATCCAGGAAGAGAGGCGGCGGATGGCTTCGGGGCCTTTCTCGAGGGGGATGACCCACTCGTTGACGAACTGCGAGTAGAGGCAGTTCATCAGGAGGGCTTGTCGCGAGGGCTGGACGGCGGCGATGGTGGAGCCGTTGGCGAAGCCGTACTGGAGGCCGAAAACGAACCACTCGACCCAGGGGAGGATGCGCGGCACCCACTGCGCGGCGTAGAGGAGGTTGTGGTAGAGGTAGTAGCCCAGGGGCCCGTCGTAGTTGCGGACCGGCGGGGGAAGCAGGGGCTCGTCGGTCTTGTTGGCCTCCCAAACGACGGCGCGGCGGGTGTAGGGGAACCACCAGACGCGCACAAACTCGGAGCTGGTCCAGAGATCGCGTGGCCAAGAATCCAGCATGACGCGGTCCGCGTCGATGACCTGGCGCCAGCGGAGGGTGAAGGCGGGAACGGCACGGAACGTCACCTCGGTGATGATGCCGATAGCACCGAGCGAAAGGAGGGCAGCACGGAACAGAGATGGGTTCTCCTCCTTAGAGCACGAGACGGTGGTTCCGTTGGCGAGGGTGACTTTGAGAGCCACGACGTCGGCGGACATGAGGCCGTGGCGTAACGTGCTGCCGTGGGTGCCGGTGGTAATGGCGCCGGAAATTGACTGGTCATTGATGCTGCCGAGGTTAGGCATGGCGAGGCCAAGTTCGGCCAGGCGCTCACCGAGAGTGTAGAGACGTATACCACTCTGCATGACAACAAGCCCGGTCTCCGCGTCAGCGGACAGGATGCGGTTGAAGTTGTCAAGGTTCACGAGCCAGTTCGAAGTGCATGTGATGTGGGAAGGCGAATGACCAGCGCCCGTGGCGACGACGCGGCGGCGGCATACTCGGGCCAGGTTAACGAGCTTTTCGACCTCTTCCAGCGACTCGGGTTGAATGTAAAGCTCCGGAATTGACGTAAAAGTCCTCGCCCAGGTGTGGTGGAGGTGATTCTGGCGGGCGCGAAATGCGACGCCATCATCCCTCTTCTCGAGCTCTGCGGTAATTCTAGGATCCATGTTGGTCACGTCTGATATCGCAATCGGGAGGTGTTCAGAGGTCAGAAGATCTCGAGCAGATAGATATGAGGTGGATAGGGAAATGATGGTATCTGCTCAAACCATCATGACTTTAAAGAACAGCCATGACCCAACTAAAGCGCTTGGTCGAAATACGAAAAAAACAAAATAAGGGATAAGGGAAGGGAGAGAAGTTCGGATTGATAGTTCCGTTGTGAGGGTGAAATAGGTATGCTATGTACGACTAATAAAGACTCGGACGGATAGTAGACTAAGAAAAAAGAAGGGTGGGGTTAATATCCTTTAAAGCCCTCTTTTATTTTCCTTCTTTCCTTATAGGTTTACTATGATAGTATCCTACCTAACTAATATAGTATTTTCTAGTATTTTGTTATTTTCTATTCTAATTTTCGGTATATAACTCGCGGGTAGTATTATAAAGGCAAGGGGCTAATAGTATAGTTAGATATAGGATAATAATTAATAAGAATAGCACTAGTAATAGTAGTAATAAAGATATAAGTGGTTCTGTATTATAGTAGTGCCTTGGTAATAATATACTAACTCTAGTTATAGATAGCGTTATAGAAACCCTCCCCTAAAAGGGGTAAGCCTAAGGATAATAATAATGGCTATTACGAGTAGGGTATGATCCGAGTTATACCGTATATAGGCTTATTAATATCGAAGCAATAGCGTAGGGACTAGTAAGGGATAGTTATTTACGGTATTGTAAACAACGAGGTAGCGACCTAGTCAAAGCCGAAGTATATACTAATATTATAGGTGTAAAATAGGCAGAAAAGGGATCGCTGTTAACGGGGGAGATCGGAGGAGAAGAGACGGAACTCGAAGACGATACCAAGGCAAATAATAAGAATAATAATGAAAGGAGAGAGGTGTGGGGAGAGAGATACCGAGTTGTTAGAAGAAAAATACATAAAGACCGAAGAAAAAAACACTCAGGAATGCCCTCAGATTAGCTCTCTGGTTCTCACTGACAACGGCCAGAGTGGAGGACGATAGTCATCCTCCGCATACTTCTGTGCTGTCTGCAAATTTGGCTTTTTGGTTTTCCCTTGGTCATCACCGGGCTATAATTCATTTGGTCGAGTGTCTCGACTTTCGCTCCCGACATGCTCTGCCACTCGGCGAGCGTCACAAAGGCCACCAAGACAGCTGCCTGCTCCGATTGAAAACTATTTTTTGTGAACTTTCACCAGCGCTTCCAAGAGTCCCTGCCAGATCCCATGCGAAAGGTGTGGCCGTCACCCCCTAGAAACGGCCACCCCGATGATGGGAAGTGGTACATCTAGTTTCCCATTTAAAAGGGATGGCCGTTACCCCCTAGAAACGGCCGTCCCCATGATGGGAAGTAGTGCATCTCGAGGAATGATACACACACATGTATGTATCCAAGGCGCTTCTAGTTAAGCGGTTGTCGTCACAGCGGCACTGTGTGTCTTGGGACAATTGCTGACCAACTGGGCAGCAGAGCGATTAATCGGTTGGAGCGCCTGCTCAGATTTCCGTTCTTGTGCATGGTCTTTTCGTTTTCCCAGAGGGTTCCCGGAGGAACCACAGTGGAACGATCCCAGCAACTCTTTGTGAAGAGGTGTCGTCACCGCAGGCTTTAAGGAAGAAACAGAACTCAAAAAGTCGAGAAACGGAAGAAGAAAAAAGAAGAAAAGAAAGGATCAGACTCGATTCAATGCGTCTCGAGAAGGGTAGAGTTGCTCCCTGAGATGCTGTTGAACTTCTGTACGTGGGCAGATAAGGCAGGTAGGCTCGTATAACCCCCGGGGAAGGAAAGAAACAGGAAGAGTAGGAGGAGAGTTGGGAATCTCTGTTCGTTATGGTCGATGCCGACCTCTGGCTCTGTGGACATCGTGATCCGATCGTGAAATCGGGGGGAATTGAGCCAGATCAGCTGTCTATCGCCTGTTATGTTCTGTTTTCGGTAGTCGACATCGAAGGAATCAGCTGGCGGCACAAAACGCTGGGATATTGAGATAATGCACAGAGTTTGTGCACTGAATTTCTCGAATCGGGGACCCAACTCGGCATAGAATATGCGAAGAGAAATCCTCTGGCAGACATCGCGATGCTTCGGTATCCAGACTCATATACATTCAAGCGATAATTCCCACATGAAGCACATCATGTGGCGCTTGCTTCTTCTTCAAACACGGTGTGCTTGGCAAGTTCTTGTCGTGTGACGCTTGCCTCGACGAAATCTTTCGGGAAAGATCGCAATGGAGTGAAATCGATATCACAAGGGAACCGAATGCTGGCTCCTTCGAATAGCCTTCTTCAAAGTATCGGACACGGCGTAGGCCAATATTGACAGTTTTGGTAGAGAGTATAATACTTGAGTGTTTGTGTTGCTGAAAAGGAAAAGTTAGAAGGAGCAGGAGGAGGAGAAGAAGAAGACGAAGAAGAGGGAGAGCGGGTGGAACCTTCGAGTTTCAGTCCAAAAGACAATCCGACGCGTTCCCAAACGCGTGTTGGAGCCTATCCACTATCCGCTCGCTGACTAAGCATTCTGCAGACAGTGCGTAGATTTGCAGAGTACGGAGCAATCATCAAACGCAGGCAACATATTCTGCAGATTTCTACACTAGATACTTGCCTCTACGGCTTGGTACCAAGAGACGGCCTTATTTGAGTCACTATGATCTGTATCTCTCAGACTCTTGTGCCTCTTTAATCCTCTCCTCCACTTTGGAAATCGTCTGCTCATCGTAGAGATCCTCGATACGACCAACACCCATCAAGATAGTCTTCTCATGCCTCGATGCCTCATCCTTGGTCATACAGACCAAATCACCCAGCCTAACGTTCGAGCTCTTTTGCTCCTCTAGCCCTTCTCCTATCCTTATGAGGGGCGTGCCTTCCGGCTTCCGCCACCGGACTAGGGAAAGCCTCGTCGGCACGCCCGTGATGGCGCTGCGGCCCTTGTACAGCTCCTCGACAAGGAACGCCACGTCGCCTGGTGTTAGCGGCAGTCGCAGGCCCCTGGCGACATCGAGATCGGCGCTTGTGCCCTCTGAATACCGCACGAGCCTCTCTTCACTGGCTTGGACGAGGCCCAAGATGCCGTCGTACATCTTGTCGCGGTTCTTATTCACGCTGTTGTCCAGCGGATATCCTAAGCGCAACCGCTATATCAGCAACGAAGGCCTTCTCACTAACGCATGACCCTCTGGCCAGCAATGCCAAGTAAGAAACATAGATATTAGACTTACCCGTGATGCTCAGAATGATGTAGTTGGCGACGGTGTATCCAAACACCGCCGGCATGGTTCCAAGAACCGGTAGAATTCGTACGCGGAAGTTGGGGAGCACCCCCAGATCCCCGACCTTGCCCTTCTGGAATTCATCTTCCGGAAGAGGCAGCAACTCGGCCTTGCCCTCGCCTGCCTTCTCGTTGGAGTAGACGACAGGTATCCCGCTCGTGACGCCCTGCAGCTTCAGCCTCCTCCGCGTCGCCCGCGACAGGCCGTCATCCGTGCTAGTCCCGATATCACCAATCATGATCCGCGTCGGGTCGCTCTTCGCGCCGGCCCCCATGCTCGAGATGACGGGGATTTTGCGGTCGTGGCAATACTTCAGCAGCGCGACCTTGGTGTCGATGTTGTCGATAGCATCCACCACGAAGTCGGGCGGCTGGCCGTCCTCCGTCCACGGCGAGAGCACGTCGTCGGCGACATCGCCCTCGAACTTTTGCAGACGCAGGTCGAACTTCACCCAGGGCGTGACGGCGATCAGGCGCCGGTAGAGGCACTGGACTTTGGGCATCCCCACGTCCGCCAGCGTGGCGGCGGCGTGGCGGTTGAGCGAACTGAGCGTGACCTGGTCGAAGTCGATGAGCCGGATCTTGGAGACCCCGGACCGGGCGAGCGCGGCGGTGCAGTGTGACCCAACGCCGCCGCAGCCTACCACGATGACGAACGACTTGCGCAGCTTTTCCAGCCCTTCGTCTTTGAGGAAGACGCGGTTCCGGGCCAGCTGCTCTAGAATGAGCTCGTCGTCGAAGTCCCCCGCTTGCGCTCGCCTCGCCAGTGCTTCGTTCCGAGCATCTTCCTTGTCGACGGGCGGAAGAGTGCCGCCGGTTTTTCTAACCTGTCACGAGATTTCAGCAACGAGTTTGCCGTTTGGATGGCGAACTGGGTCGAATGGGACTGAATGAGGGCATCTATATGTGTACCTTGTCAAGGGTGGATGTAGTATCTGTCGGAGGGGGGATGGAACGCTTCAACTCATCGAGTCTTTCTTCCCTAGCTAAGGACTGATAGCCAAATATGAGGCATGCGACCGTCGCGCCGGAGATGATGGCTGTAGTGGCCAACTGTACCCGCGGATCTGATGCCGCCTTGGAGAGAAATGAAGACATCTTCAGCAACAGCAATCCATGCTCTGGTCAGGGTATCGCGAAGAATGATCCGCAAACGACAGGAAGCGGCCTTACCAAGTTAAATGGAAGGGAAATCTCAGCCGCATAAAAATGAACCAACAAAACCAAAAGACAATGAATATTCTCTGATAATCATCATTCAACGGACGTTTCGGTCGCAAATAAATCCCGGAGTTTAAGTTGTTCAATTGCGCGAGTCGGAACGACAGGGGATAGATTCCGAGTTGGAGCCAATCACGGGAGCCAATCACGGGAGCCAATCACAGGGACCAATGCCACGCCACGGGAATACTTTTCTCCGATGGCCACTTTGGCCTTGGCGCTTGTTTGTACAAGCTCGTAGTCTTGAAGATCATCAAACCTCTCTCTCTATAACATTCTCTGCCCACCTAGCTACAATCCTCCCACATAAGAAACTTCGTTGCCGACACTTCGACGTCGCTGTTTTAATAGATTCTCGAAGACATTGGGTCTCTTTCTATTCATTTACCAGAGCGACGAGCGACATTAATCTAACCCAGCGAAACAAACTCGACTTGTTCAAGCTCATTACGTAGCATGATGTCTTGACTTTGAAGCGTCTACCCGCAACACAGATCCCAAATAAACCCACAAATGACATTACCCGAGAAGATGCGGCAACGAATCGCCCTCCGGCGACTTCTTTTCCAGAAGCTATTCCGGTCACCCGCTTCCTTACAACGACCCTTTACGAGCAACGCGTCGCTCGCATCCAGAAGCCGTCCCCAGCTCCCGTTCCTCTCGATACCAGTGACGACAACGCGGCGGAGAGCACGATACTTTACGACCGAAACAAGGTTGTGGCTGCGACATGAAGGCAGTATGGTTGTGCGGTACAACATTGCCTTATGGGGTTCCCTGATCTGCCTGGCGGGTATCATCTTGATGCTCAACCAGGACAGTCTCGAGAAGCAGTTCCCAACGCCCCACGAATGGTCGTTCATCACGCGCATGCGAGTCCGAGGGGCAAAAAGCGCCAATAACCATGGAGGTCCCAAGGGCAAGAACTGGGATGAGATTATTGTTTCCTGCAGGGAGGCCCTGAAGAGGCTTGAGGATCCCAATATCGACGGTGCCGGCGTCAGGGAGCTTCTCAACGACGAACCCCTTTCCATCGAGGGCCTTGGAAACGTGGGGAAGGATATCTCCGACAAGAGCGAGAACTGGCGGAGGGGCTACTATGAGGTAATGATGCTGCTGGCCAGGAGCCTGGAGCAGGTCGACGGCTGGGTCAAGGACAAAACGAGAAATATCGTCTGCCCACCCCAGATGGTGGTGGGGCCATCGAATCCTCGCCCGGAGCCCATGCCCCCAGGAGCGCCATCAGCGCCGAAGGAGGAGAACTGCGAACCGGCCTATGAGTCTGCAGAGAACGCCTATCTGCGGATTCTCACGACAAAGGGATTCAGTACCAAGCAAAGGTTGGACGCAGCACTCGCGTACGCTTTCTTCTTAGACTACAAAAGGTTGCCTGAGGCTGCTGAGCGGGTATATGACTGGGCCCTCTCGATTGCCACAGAGTCTGCCGACCCGTCCTCTCCACCGCTGGTGGACCGGCGCACGTTGACCATACACGACAAAGCCACACCGCCGTCTGACAACGTCCTCTCGGTCCTGACCGCGATAGCGACCCAGAAAGCCCGGTCGGGCGACCTCTCGGCGGCACTGCCCATGTTCATCTCGCTGCTCCGCGCCCGCCGTTCGCTCCCGTCCACAGCGGCGGAGGGTTCGGTGGAGGAGACAGCAGCAGCAGCAGCAGCAGCATCAGCAGCGGAAGCACGATCGAGTTGGTGGCAGAAGCTGTGGGAGCTGGCCAAACCGCCGCAGTACCCGCCGCCGCCGCCCGACGGCACGCAAGCCCCCTGGCGAAGTGCGAAGAATCTCTGCGAGGAGGCGGCGCTACACCTGTACATCGGCGAGATCCTCTACTCAAGCCAGGACAAGGCGCAGATGCGCGAGGAAGGCGTGGCGTGGACGCGCGACGGGGTGGACCTGGCGGAGGAGCAGCTCCGCAAGCTCGGGACGACGGGGGCGGGAGACGCCAAGGAGACGTGCAAGGAGTGCCTGACGACGGGACTGGAGAACTGGTCGACCATGGTGAAGCGGTTGGCCAGGCAGGAGGCCGAGCAGCACAAGAAGCGCGAGGAGAGCGGTGGAGGCGGGTCGTCTTTCGGGGCGTTCTGGAGCCAGCCTAAGCCGCAGGAAGTCGAGGCGCGTTGGGCGGCTGAGGAGAAGGTGGTCCAAGAGCGGGTCCGGAGGACGAGCGAGCTGCTGATTGATGCGGCACCGCCAGAAAGCTTTGTGCAGAGCCTGCTCAAGGCGTAGGTGGGACTACTGTGATGGACGATCCGTTTCTGGGTCGGCGACCTTCGCTGCCTTCGCTATCTGTGCAGCAATCGTGCTGCAGTATCTATTCTACGGTTGCACAGTGTAACTGCTTCGTACCTTTCAAGGGTTGAAAAGTAACAAATGTTGAATTGGAATAACTCCAGTTTGGAGCATTGGGGTCGTGAAGCACAACAGAACTGCAGCCCTCATGTGCTTGATCTCGGAATATGTTGACATGCCAAAGACCCGGCAGACCGGATCGCTAAGATTTTGCCCGTCACGAACGGGGGGATTTCTTTTCTCCTTTTCTTATTCTCTTTCTCGAACTGGGCAGAGGAATTGCCATGGCATCTGAGACAAGTGCCATCCGTTCGCAGCAGCCTCGAGCGCCGACCAGGTCGCTGGAGCCCAGACGAATATAAGCTGTCCGGATATATTCCGATGGGAGGAGAGGTTGGGAATTGGCCATTGCTTCACCAAGTCGTCAGCAAAAGCGAGAAGAAAATTTCTACTCAGCTCTCTCGGTGTTCTGGTAATTAGATCGTAAATAATAAGCCTGGACCTCGATTCTGAAACTCGGGGTCGATTCCCAGAATCCTGGGAATGGATCTTTTGATGTTCACGGTGCAGGACCTGGCCCGAGTCGCTGGTTCCCGATGTCATTTAGTGGGCCGAGCAGAATCCCCAGTGGGCCGGCCACTGACGTGTGGGGGTCGTTTCGCTCGTTGAATCAAAGGCTGTGGGTGGGTGTCGCCGTGCACGGACCGAGGACACCAGCCGCCCTATTTTCATTGGGAGACGGACGGGAAAAAGAAGGGAAAAAAAAAAGAAACCGTGTGATGTGGGGCGCAGTGTCCACCACGAGGTACCTCCCGAAGAGCGTTAGGTAATACAGATCCTTTGGGAAAGTACCTTATTCTATGGGGATACGAAGTACCTGCAGCTCTAAGGGAGCTTTTGGGCAAGAACAAGAACGACCGAGTTAGGTACATACGAAGAGATTCAGTGGTGGGAACTGATGCAGGAGTAGGTGCGGGTGTGGTGCAGGTGCAGGAGGAATAAGGCGGTGAAGAACCAGAAGACAGAATTTCGCTTCGTCTTTTTCTTCTTTTCATTTTCAAACATGTAATCCAACAACAACAACATCACCATCCTAAAGACACATTCCGTGATACTTGCCAACACTGTTACTCTATGGGTATGTCAGTCCGCCTTCCCCCCTTCGTCTCGGGCACTATACCTAGCTCCCGCCTTGACCAATACCCACCCCACTTCACTCCCACCCAACGCCTTACCACAATTTTGGGAGCCGGTGGCTGGGAACAGAAAAACGGAACCCTATCCCTACTCCGTACTCCCGCTTCCATCACGGCTCCGCTGCAACATGTGCCGACCCAGCCTCCCGGCTCGTCCCTATCGTCGTTGTTTCTTCTGTGACAAGACCAGCCACTTCCTAACGTCCCACGCATCAACCAAAATGACGCCGCTCCCCAACCTTTCGCGCAAGCTCAGGCTTCTGCAGCACACCATGCATCTCTCCTCTACACTGCCATTCTCTTACAAGTGATTGGTCAACGATTAACGGTCAGCCTTCAGCCTAACCGTCCTAGTGGACTGGTAAACCCCGTTGTCAAAGCATGAATTATCAAGACTTGAACTTCGACTTTGTTGATAGGCAGCGTATGGTTTCCCCATCTCCTTCAGCTTTCAGTGTTTATAGCTCCATGTCCCATCCCAGCTGTTCTACCCTTCATCTGAACGATCTCGTTAACAGTGGTGGCTACAGGCCCTTATCCTCCTCAGTTCTGGTCCCCGGGGACTCCCTCCGATCAACTTCAAGCTGCCGTCCCAGCAGGCAACGAACGTGCCAGTCATCCATATCGAACAGGCAGTGACAATCTGTCAAACGATTCTGGCTTACAATATTCTGACGCTGCCCAACCCACTATTGCTCCGTACAACATCCCTCACGCTCCGACACCTCCCTGGGGCTCCGACGGTTCGGCTCCTTCCAACACTACCAGCCAATACGGCCCGAGCCGCCTTTTCGGCCATTTCTCCTTCCCACTCATAGACAACCGCCCCGGTGCCTCACAGCCGCCCGCCTTGCCTCTTTCTTCTGCTTCTCCTACATACCTCCCACACGCCATGGACGAAGTCACTGCCCGGGCCGAAGCTAGGGGGTTTCGTGACCAGATGACCATGGACGCTGCTGGGTCCATTACTCCAGGTGTCGACGACGGCCCATTCATCAATTTTGCTCTCAACGCTTTGACGGCGGACAGATGGTCAAAGTCCTCGCCCGCCTCGAATCTCCCTTCAAGACCGGACGCCACCTATACGCGGCACACGGCCGACGATTCGAATCGCTTCCCCGACGAGGAGTCCTCGACTATGCGCGCCATGGCCGGTGCTGGTGCTGGTCTACATACCGCCGCCGCCCCGATTCCCGTCATCATGTTCAGTGGCTCAGTGCCGCAGAGATCGGCGTCACCACCCAATGTCAAAATGCACGACGCTGATGTGCAGGAACCCGATCCCACTCCGCTCGACACCGACCACGACCATCCTCCCTCCGCTTCCCGCGAGCTCCTTCAATACAACCCGACCAGAAAGCTGGCTGCTCTCGACGTGAACCAATGGGTTCCAATTAGCGAAACACGCCCAGTGCCCAGGGAAGGCAAGCCAAAGCTGGACCTCCTCGATCCCACGAGAGAGGCGTACCCGCGCCTCACCGCCCTCCCACGGACATTACGACTCCCTTCTCTGCTTGCCCTCCTCATGCTCTGCCTCGCCAACATCGTCCTCTTCATGCTTTCCGCCATCTTCTCCATGCGCCGCCCAGGTCTCCTTCAACTACAACTGTCCGATAGCGAGATCCAGGGTGGCCAGTATTTCCTGTTTCGCATCTTGCCACAACTACTAGCTGCCATTGTCTTCGTGTACGTCCAGTGCGTCATGGCGGCCACCGTTCGAATCCTCCCTTTTACGACGATGGCTCAGGATGAGATGGAGAAACGGAAAGACGGGCTCTTTCAAGAACTTTACCCGAGGTCGTATTTGATCCCTCACTTATCTGGCCCTGTTGTGACAAGGGTCTGTTTGACTTTGATGTGGCTCAGCGCCTTTACGATCCCGCTCGCCAGCAGCGCCTTCACCGTTACTCGTATCCGTGGCGAGTGGACATGGGTGTCTGTGCAGCCTGTTACTTGGACTCTGGTGGCGCTATACTTCCTCCTCCTGGGTGCACTCGTCACGTTGGCTGTTTACTGGCACGGAAGGATCACTGGCCTCCTATGGGATCCGCGGTCCATCGCCGACATTGCCTTCATGCTCTATCAAACCAACGCCCTGAGCGACTACGAGGGGACGGAATTTATGATGGGCAAGACCGAGAGACGGGCACAGCTTCATCGGCGCCGGTTCGACCGGCTAGGTTACTGGATGAAAGGGGATCCCGCTATCGAGCCGTGGTACGGTATTGGCCTCGCTACCAGCTCCCTCAACTCCCCGTCTCGCGATTTTGAAGAGTTGAATCCCATGGAAGGGAGCCACAGCGTCTCTATTAGCTCCCTCAAATTGTTCGCTTCCTCCGACAACGGTAGAGCGTGGTACCGATACCTACCCTGGTGCTTGCGTGGCACCCAGGTACTCTGCTTCTCCATTGGCGCCACCGTCCTCCTGGTGGCGCTCATTGTCGTATCCTTTATTGGCGGCGCCGCCTGGATGCAGGGCTTTCATCCCGGTCGCCTCCCGGCTTACCCAGATGCGGCAGGATTCTCTGCTGCCAACTTCGTCTACAGCTTCGTACCGAGCCTGCTCGGCATGCTCCTGTACTTGGCTTTTCAATCCCTCGACCAGGTTCTCCGCATCGTCCAGCCGTGGGCCGAGTTGCGCAACGATGAAGGTGCTCCGGTCTCCCGCTCCATCCTTCTCGACTACGCGGCGTGCTCCCCCTTCCAGTCTACCTACCGCGCTCTGCGCAACAAGCACTGGCGCGTTGCTGCCGTATCCTTCATGGCTCTCCTGGCAATCCTCATCCCCGTCCTGGCCGGGGGTCTCCTCATGGCTCGGAACATTCCTGGCACCAACCAGACCCGCATGCGACCCCAAGCCGACGTTTTCTTCGCGCTTCTCGCCCTCCTGATCCTCTACCTCTTCGCCGTCATTTCTGTCATCCCTGCGCGAAACTCGTATCGTCTTCCTCACTCGGTTACTTGCATCGCCGACATCATATCTTTCCTCCGAACCGAAGACATCGGCGGGGAGAAGGGCTTTCAGTTCCAGCACGCCCGCGACCGGCAGACTATGCTCATCAATCTCGGCGTCCACCCGGGCCGCGAAGAGAACCGTTGGTTCTTTGGCAGCGTGCCTGGACGTGAGAAACAGGGCCCCGGCATACGAAGACTGAGGAAATATACCGAGCGCGCGCCTCGTCGCGCCTGATCTGATACCTAGCTGTTTTTATATTCTCGTGGCCAGTACTCCGGTTGCACTGTGTTTTTATTTTGGGTCTAGATTTGGGGCGTGTATGTTTTTTGTTCATTTTCTGGAGTTCTTTTTTTTTTCTTCGGCTCGCTTGCATAGCGGAGAGCATTGGTGGTTTTGGGAAACTTTGACGATGCATGATTTTGTATCGCGTGGTATGATATTTACGAGCTTACGGCGTTTCTACGAGATGACTCTCATATGACAAGGCATGAAGAGAACGCGAAATAGAGACACGACTCAGGTCGCACACATTTTATTCTGCTCCATGGATACACCGACGCAAGGTGTACGTAGTCCGAGATATTCCATGCTCATCACGACTAAAGCGCAGCGGCTGCTCACTTTGGGATACATAACGTTTGGTGTTCCCTCCAATCTGTGTGTCAAGGGAACCGCCAACGAGGGTACACGATGTCGCTTGTGACTATATGGAGGTAACGTGGATTTATAGTGTAGCTGGACTGCGATGTTAAATATAAACCTGGTTGAAATGGGCAAGTGTTGTCTGCGTGTGATGATGGTTGAGAGACGTGGATGATACAATTATTATATTAGACTCGTCGGGTAACGTTATCATGTGAATTCATCGACGACTGGGACGTCGACAGACAAGACAACTGATACAGAAAATACGAAGGAAGAAAATGAGCAGAGGAACAAGAAAAGGAGAGTGCGAACGCATGTGTGTCAGAGACAGATAGAGACAGATAGAGAGAGAGAGAGAGAGAGAGACATCGGTATCATGTCGTGGGCTTCGTGACTTTTGTTTTCCCTAACCGGGCCCCAACCAACCGATCGCCAGATTTATCCGTTCATCATGGGGCGCCTTGACCGTTCATTTAGCCTGCCAAAAGCCGCGTTCCGTGCGATGCTCTGGTGCTATGCCCATACGTGTACATGACGCGTAAAGTATAAAATTTGACAGGGAGAGAAGGCCAAAGAAAAAAAGAAGAAAAAAGAAGAAAAAAGAGGGAACGAAAGGAAAAAATCGTGGGAAGCATGGACTCTAGAGCATCGTGCGCGTTAAGGCAGACAGAAAAGGAGAAAAGACAAGAAAGTATAAGTGAAGGAAGAGGCCAAAGTAGGCGTGAGTAGATGGAGGTTCCTCGACTAAAGGAGCCGGAAAAAAAAAAGGAAAAAAAAAAAAAAAAGGGTTTCACGAAGAGGGATTCAATGACCCCGTCCCGAACGCCCGAACATGCGTCCGAAGACATTGCTCTTCCGGCCCTCTTTCCCCCGGCGCGTCCTGCCCTCGGACTCCTCTAGTGGGGGAGCTTGCCGCAGCGGCTCGTGCTCCTCGTGGGACCGTCTCGCGATAGCAGTGCCGGTGGGGGCACGAGGCCGTGACCATGGGCGGTCGATACTCTTGCGCGACGTCTTGTTCGAACTAGAATGTTGTTGGGCGGCGGCGGCGGTGGTGCTTTGGGTTTGTTTGTGTCGTTTCCCCCTTACGAGTCGGGAGAAGCGGCCCTCGGGTTCACTCTCGGAGTCTGAGTCGAAATCGAAGAAGGACTTTTGCTGAGTCAACTTCGGGATCGAGGTCGGCGGACGGGGTGGGCCGGGAGGGGTGGGAGGGGAGCGCGGGTTGATTAGATCTACGAGGTTGGTGGAAGGGAACAGAGGGATGGTGGATGTCACGCCGGTGGGATCTGAGTGGTGCAGAGGAGCGGCAACGGATGATGGGGGCGGCGACATGTCTGGGAATTGGGGGGCACTTGTCCCGTGGCTTGTATGAGGACGCGGTGCTGGGGGTGAGGCTCCGAAATCAGACGTGGGCATGCGAGGCACTGTTTCGGAGTGGTGGTGCCGGTGTTGCGTGGCTTTTGGGTGGGAGAGCTTGCGGTCTGCTGAAGGCATCCAAGATGGACCTGAAAGCGCAGGAGTCACGACCCGGGGCAGAGAGCTTGTCCTTGGTGGCGGCGACAGTGCATCTTGGGGCGAGCATGGGCGCATGGTCTGTTTGGGGAAGAGACTATAGGAAGACTCGACAGCCCGGATCGTCTGAGGCTTCTCGTAAATTTCATGACTTCGCAGCGGCCACTCTGGCCTATCCGTGGTAGGGGATTGCGGCGCGACAGAGGGCCGAACGGTCAAGGTGTATCCCGCCGGCTTTGGCGGGCGTGGGTTGTCGTCGTAGTTGATGGCGCCCGGCTTCTTGGCCCTCTTGATATGGGGCGAAGGGATCAGGGCGGGATAATGAACACGTGGCTCAGGGTGCTCCTGCTTATGGGACAGCTTGTGCTGCTGCTGCTGCTGCTGCTGCTGCTGAAGGTGATGTTTTTCCTGTTGAGTTGGGTAGCAAGCCGAATCCGTCCGGGCCACCCAAAAACTGTCCCAGATTTGCGACGTCGAGGCATGGTACTGATAGTCATCGTCGTGGGAAAGCTCCGAGTCGGTACGATCGTCGATGAGACTGGGTGGCGAGCCTGCCGAGCCGATACAACCCCTATCCCGGGTTCGAGCCATGAACTCTGGGCTAGGAGGGGGGTACGGGCAGTTCGAGTAGCCGTAATACTTGGACACAAGCTTGAGCTGGGCGAGCCCAGTTTGCCGATCTATGCTGGCGCGTGTCGGTGAAAAGGTGCCCATCTTGCGGGAGCGATCAAGATTCGAGCGACAGTACGGGTCGATAGACGCAGCAGACATGACGAGAAAGACGTCAACGTCTGCTCAGGGATTAAATGTCGATGCAGAATGATGTCGTCCGGGGGCTATGAAGGCGAGAAGCAGCAAAACAACAACAAGCAACAAATAAAAAGAAATAAAAAAACAATAGACAAAAAACCGGTCTGGTTCCCAGGGATAGAGAGGGATATATGCGGACAGAAACAAGGCATGCACGATCTGATCCTGTATTGATCTTCTTTTTCCCCGTGTCCCTTCGCTCCAAACAAACATTGAGCACCCAGAGACACGTACCAAATGGGGCTCTCCCTAGGTAGGGCAGGGCCGACAACAACAGCGAGGAACGACAGGTATGCAACATCGTGTCTCAGAGGCACTACAGAACGATCCGGACACCACTGGGCGGCTGAAGCTGGCTGGCTGAGGGCGGGTGGGTGGGTGGAAAGGACGCAAGATCGGCATGTCTCGATCTAGCCTCAACTACAAGACATTCCTCTGCTTATGAACGGATCTTCTTTCCCGTAGTCGCTCCTGCGGTGTCTCCTGTACTGTGATTTCTGGCGTCTCCTATAATGGGCTCCTGCGCTGTGCTTTATACCAATGGCGAACTAGGTCCGAGTATGATGGGGGCTGCTATGCTAGTCTTGGGACGCGAGATGGGAAGAAACAGGTCAAGCAAGCCGTCTGTCTACCTGCCCGGATGCTAGGCCTGCATAGCCGGCCGCGGACCCGTAACCCTCCCATGCAACGGCCGGCTAGCGGCAGGAGGCAAGGGCAAACGACAGTCTATGTAGCCATGCCTGGGTGTCCCGAAAGCCGACCTGTCAAATCCCAGACCCGGGAACGACAGCTCTTGGCGATTCTGGGGAGAGTGACGTACGCCTGACTGGTAAGAAGACATGACTGACACCAAAGTGGGAGGGCGAGAGGGCGAGATGGCGAGAGGACGAGAGGACGAGGGAGAAGGAAAAGAAGGCGTACATTCGTACTTGGTACTTGGGTAACACGACCGATAGCCGTGGTGAGACCGATTCTCCCAAGTCTCGTCTGTCGTATCACTCACTGTAGGCGACACGGCAATCAGTGGGAATCAGGGGTAACCGTCGACCTCCATCTCACTTCAGAATAAAACAGACTCGGCTTAACAGAGAAGAGCCCGCATGGGAAACATTATCCGGCCCAAGGAAGAAGAATAGAAGGGGGGGAAACGGTAGGGAGGAAAAGGAAGAAAAGCAAAAGCAAAAGCAAAAGCAAAAGCAAAAGCAAAAGCAAAAGCAAAAGCAAAAGCAAAAGAAAAGAACAGAAAAGAAAAGAAAATAAAAGAAAAGAAAAGAAAAGAAAAGAAAGAAAAAGGCAAAGAATGCATGCCGGGCCTTTGATGTCTCACTTGAGCAAACCATATCGCCTTGATACCTCACTCCACCTCTCAAATATCTGGACGGCGAGAATTCCTGAGCCTCCCTTCCCTCCCTTGACAGCCGTTACCATGGACAATTCGGCTAATCGAGTCAATGCAGGAATGGAATATGACGGCTTCTTGACGACTCCAACTCGGCTTTGAGGCCGATACGGCAAGGTCAGCAGCAGCGTCCAGGAGGTCAGGCGTAGTGGGGTAGTCAAATGATGAATAGTGATTGTACGAGGTAGTGACAGAGTAGGGCTTTCAGAAAGTGTTGAGGAGATTTCCTAGCTGGGGTGGTGAAAGAATGTTTCGCCGCTGTGCCACCGAGCCCACACCGAGACAAGCGGTCGTAGTTGAGCTGGATAGTCCAATATTACCTTGGTAACGAGGTGATCTGGGCCATCGAACACGCAAGGAAACATCACCAAGAACTCGAAGGGAGAAAAGGGAGGAGAAGAAGGGGAGGTTGGCTCCAGCTTCACCACATCTAAGTGATCCAACTACCACTACCCCACGCTCTCTCATTCTCTTCTCCGTACTCAGCGGGACATGCATGCAGACGATAGATGACGGATGACGAGTTGATGTCGTAATGTCGTAAGGGTGACAGGCGCCAACTCTGCCACGGTCCCGCAATGGACGTAGGAAGCGACAGCAAGACGTTGAGAGGAAGCGAGGGAGAATGGAAAGCAATTACGAGGGGAAGTCGTTACTTTTTCTCGTCCCTACCAAGCCACATCGGCCAATAACAATGCGGTATCCACAAGGAGTCACAAGGAGCCACAAGGAGCCACAAGGAGCCACACAAGCCACAAGGTCTTTTTCTCCCCGTTTGTCATGTTCTCCCCTTTGACTTCCTTTTCCCCTTTTCCCATTTCCCCTTTTATCGTTCCCTCAAGACAGTCAACTTATTGCCATTTGATATAGTTCCCCTTTCCTTAGATTATGTAGTGCAACTGGTTTCGTCTCCCCTTTTTATTTTCCATCCCCCCCCTTCCGTTTGTATATGCGTGTATATCTCCCGACACCAGATCTAGGAGTAAGCCCGGAACTTCTCCCTCGCTCTGTCTTAGTCCTCCGTCTCAATATTCTCAGCCGAAGGAAAAGAGGAAAACATCCCTGATTCTCTGATAAAACCTCAGGCTGAATGAGGTACACCGTCATCTCTCCGGTCATCACCGCGCAATCCCCCGATCCCTGTCCCCCGTTAAATCGCCCGGTTCGTAACCTATCTCCACATTCGTCGTCCTCATGATGCCGGCGTCACACCGCATGATTTCCTCCTCGCTCCCGGACGGTGTATACGACCTGATCTCGGTCCGACCGATCCCGCGGATGGGCTTCATCACGAAGCTATTGTCGTCGAGCGTCTTGTGCCCAGACCCTCCAATCGTGACCAGCTTCCTGGACCCCTTTTTACTGTATGAGCTATCGCCCGAGGGCCCCGTGCCGTACGTCCCGCCCAGTTTGGCAAACGCGTTGGGGAACCACTGCCGGAACAGAGGCCACAGCGCCGGCACCGATGCCGTCACGATGGCGACGTTGCTCTCGATGACCGACGTCGTTGGGCCCAGGCTGTATGTCAGGTCCGGGTCGATATTCCCCGTCTCGAATTGCCGGAAAACGTCGAGGATCGACCATAGCCGAATGCAACCCACGATCGTCACGCTGAAGGATAAGAAAAAGAATCTGTCAGCGCCTGACCTTTCGTCTTGCTCCTTGGCCTATGATTGAGAAACAGAAAAAGGGGGGGGGGGGGGGAGGGAGTAACTCACACTATACCCAACATGAACACGCCCAGCAGTGCAATCTTGACCCGTCTCGCCATCTTCAATTCCAGGAAGATCCAAAAGGGAAGCGCTAGCACCAACACGTCCGTGATGATGGTGATGATCGCCGTCCCCACCGTCAGGGCCTTGCCATCCACGCATGTCTTCTCGTCCTCCGGGACAGTCGGATCCCAGTTCGAGTGGATCGGCAAGCACTGGAGGAGAACACCGAAGAACGTCCCGATCATCAGGCAAATATTGGCCACGTTGAGGACGTGAATACACCACCACACGGGCCTCTTCGTGCCGCCCAGTCGCAGGAGGAAGATGAGCACCGACGACTTGACGAGCGCCAGGATCGGGTTGTACAGCGCCATGTTCACGTAGTTCCACCGCCGGGCGATGAACATGTCGTGCGGTGGGATATCCCACATGTGGATGCCCATGTAACTCGCCAGAGCATCTGCGTAGACGTTCTGTTCAGAATTCTGGCTCACCGTCGCCCGAAAGGTCGTCAGGGGGGTCGGGGGACAAAGCGGCAATACTTACAGTGATAGAAGCTCACGGTAAACCCTATGGAGAGGCCCTGTCATGCAAACTGTCGCGTCAGCACTCGGTTTCCCGCTTTCCATGCCTTGGACGGAGTTTCGTAGCGACAAAACGTACCATGGCCAGTACGATGAGGGTATCGTCTATTCACTCAAGTCAGTATTCTACCCTTCCTGCAAACTTGGTCGGCGTGTTCTCTTTTTCTTTGCTTCTTTCTTTCTTATTTTCCTCTTTCCCCGTTTATTCGGTGGACTCACCCCATCCAAATTGCCGCATCCAAAGCCGCCCGTATACTCGTGCCGATACTGTGATGAAGGCCAACGCAGGAAAGAAGAAGATGATGGCGTGGCCGAAACGACGAAGTCCGGTGTCGTTATAGGGGCCTGGGACGCCGGCGCCCCATGACTCCGGGAGGTCCTCCGGCGCAGGAGGAGGAGGGAGCGGTGGTCCGCTCATCGTCGTGTCTCTGTTCGACGGTGATGGCGATCTTTTGCGGAAAATTGGAGACTGCACTGCTCAGTGCTCCCTCACGAGTCTCCAGGAAGGGTCTAACGCTAAGGGCGTGGAGCGTCCGATGCGATGGGGCGAAGAGGAGCACGACGATGATGATCAATTCCAACTTTATAACCAGACCGATCGGAATGATATCTTGAGTTGTGACTGATCACAGAACCGTTGTTAGGGCCCTGGCCCATATGAATGGGGTAAAAAAGGAATCAACGACAGACCCAGGGTTCATCCGATCCCCATGTTTCTTTCCCTGTTGGTTGCCCCGAGCCGCTGATCGAGTAAATCAACAACGGTCTCTATGGTTCGATGAAACCATGTCCCCACGGGACAGGAGGTCTGGAAGCCAGGGGGGCGAAGGAGGGCAAGAATGTTCCAACGAAGTATTACTCTGCAGCACACAATGTAAGAAGAAGTATGCGGAAGATCCGACAGACGCAGACTCCCCTGAGATGAGTCTCCGCCATGGACAAAATCTGCAGGTATGTACGTAATTAATATGAGTATACCGGTAGAGGGACGGGCGGCACAGCATTTGAGCTGAGTTGGTTGTATAAAACCCCTGCGTTTTTTACTGGACTCGACTGCGGTTGTGGCGTCAATAATGAGCTGTGCCGTTTGAGAAAACGGGCCGGGGGCGCGATCCGAGTTGCAGTTCGCTGCGGGTAGGATCCTGTAGACCTAGCATGGTAAGTCGAGACCCTCGCTTATGAAAAAAAGAAGAAGAAAAAATCAAGCACCGTATTTCCGTATTTCCCAAGTTTGTCCAAAACAGTAGGTTTTGCTTGATCAGTGAGGTCAGTGAGTGGGAAGACGGGCCAAATCTTGAAGCCGCCCATGTTGTCTGCCATGGAAAATCAGCGCAAGTCCGGTTACCAAAGGATGCAGATAATTATGAGGTACTTGTCAAGGTCTAATCCTATCGACCATGACAATCTGGCTGTCTTAGGTATTCCACAATGTTCATGACGGACACCCTGCCTCCCCCCCTCCTTTCTCCTCCTCCATGTTGGTCTACGCGCGGCCGCTTTTGCGGACATTTTCCCTTGGCGGGGAAGAGTGGCACGGCGCGAGGTGAAAAAAGAAAAAAAGGAAGTGGGAAACGAAGAAGATGGTGTCCACGACCGTGCCTGGACTTTCCACCGGGGAGCACCGGGGAGCACCGGTGAAATCCTTCGCTGCATGCCCAGCTGGAGCCGAGCTGCAGGTACGTCCGAAAAAAAAAATTGGCAAGCCACAAAACGTCTTTTCGCTACCAGTAAAGAGTCCCAGTGCGTTCGTTGTAAAGAAGCTGTGAGGCGTTTGGTTAAAATGAGGATAGGAGATAATTAGGTGCTAGGGCCTGAAGCCACAGATTTTCTCTCCGATGGTGATATATCCATAGATCGATCATGAGCTGCAGTCGATTCCGCAAGAAATCTACAACTCGAGGGACCCCACAAACCCGTTGGTGTTTCTTCAATAGTCAGTGATCAGTGACAGGTTGGCTTCAGAGAAGAGCGCGAGGTCGCACCCCTTCCGGTTCGTCCATAGAGTCAAGCAATCCGTTTTTCTATGGACTGACCACGCCGTGTTGGCTTTGTGCGCATGGAGGGAGATATGCCCTACGAAATAGGTATTCGCATGGGTAGGTAGGGAAGAGGGGGCGGCTCGGAATGTGGTGTCGTCGTGTCGCATTGGAAGCCCCGGTTTCCATATCCCTGGCCCCTGGCTCTCCCATCATTGTACGTTATAGTGTAGCTCCGGATTTCGGAGGGTAGTACATACAACGTTATATAAGGTACCTAATAAGCGCACCACGCCGCAGGTCGAGGAAGAATGCATTGTGTACGATGCAACTTTGAGAAGTCTTTGGGCCCCTAGCCTGGCCAACAAAGAAGCGAAGGGCGTTGAAACTCCCGTTGACCAAATGGGGTTAGCCCAAACGCTACTCCAGGACAGGTTAGCGTTCTTTAGGTGTTCTCCGATCTAGGTATGGCGTGCTATAACTAACCCCCGCACGAAAAAAAGGAACGGTTTGAAACTGGGGTTGTTAGACCAAAGTCACGTGACAGCAACTCCGAAGATGAAGACTACCTACCTACCTTAGGTAAATAAACTCCCTTAAGACTCTCGTCTCCGTTTATCCCAGACCCCAGCTACTTGGCAGGATCGGTTGCCTTTTATCCAGATCATCCCGGTTCTCTGCTCCTTTAGGATTCCTTTTATGACCCACAACCAACATGTTAGTGGAACGGTCGATTCTGTCCGCTTCCCCCGACGACCCCGAGCGGCCTGGACTTCGCGAAGGAGACTCCAACAACCCGGCCAGGGGGGGGGGGGGTTCTGCAAGGGGTCTTTCCCGCTTCTTCAAGTCTCGATTTCCTCTTCAACTTGCACAAACACGCAGCTCGCTCGTGTGCATACATTATAATTATACTCCGTAAGAGTCTTATGCAGATCACAGCCAGGCCTTCCGTTGCCCCTCCTGGCCTCGCAAACGCTTCCTGGCTGGTTTGTTAGAAGTCCTGAACATCTTCATGCATCATTTCCGGAGTACACATGTTTTATCCGAAGACCACCGCAGCCACCCTGGCTCGACTCCCGTCCAGATGCTATGACTTTTACCTACCTTACATACCTAAAACACTTCCGAAGGATCCCCTTTCCCGGTGCAGTTGGTAACTCGCCTAGGATCCTGGCATTGGCCGACTTCCGGGCTCCGCCCGCCATATCTCCTCCATTCTCTCTTACCCCTTTTTTATGGCCCAGCTCCCACTTAATTACGCGTCACCCTCTGCAGCTCCTCCTCGAACCAGAAATTTGCCAACACCGGTCGACGTTAACATAAACAGCGAGCTTCCTTCCCCACGAGCCCTTCGACTGATATGCTCTGTGTATTCCACATCCATAGGTGAGGCGCAAAACGACTTAGGTGCACCGCCGGCAAGCCGTCGGGTCCGAGCAAAGACACCACGAAATCTACCTTGAACGGTTCTTAGCACGATCTTTTTCGTCCTAGTATCCTGGGCGGTCCCGCCACCTTCAATAGCTTTTCTCAAAACCAAGTATTACTTGGTACTAGTGATCTGATATCCCTGCTCCATATCGTGTTCATATATCGCGCCGTCGTCGTTAACCCGTGAGCCGGGAGCAGCCGTTGTTGGCTCACCTCCGTCCCATTCTCTCCACCCCCACCATGCCGCCCCGCGGGTTCTCAACCGGTCACCGCCAACGAGCATGAACAGGGATCATTTCACGAGAAATGTCGGCCATTGTTTTGTTTACCATTGCATGTACCTACTTAAACTTACCGGGCGCCCAGGTGATCGGCGACGTACGTCGCGTGCTTTTCTCGTTCTTTCAATTGACTGACTGAAGATGGTTTGATCCTCTCCTAACCATCAGACGTTCCGGTTTTGAGGGATCACCACCACCGTCACGCGTAATCGTTTTTAGCCGAGTCAAAATGACACCGGCCTCGACGTGGATGCGCGTTTCAGCGCTCGCGCCCCTTGCGGGCTTGATTGTCTGCCCCATCGCTGGTAAGCCTATAATGCATTCTTTGTAGCTTGTCTGCTCCCCGCCCCGTGTGTGTGTAAGTACGACGCACCGCCCAGAGGCTGACCAGTTCTACTTTTTCTGTTCTTCTTTTCTAGCTGCGACGGGTCCTGCAGCGGACAAGCTCTCAGCCGGCTCGTCTTTTGCGCCAGCCGAGCTCTTTGAGGCGGAGACGATTCAGCTCACGGACGAGTCGCTTGCGTCTCTGGCCGGTTCTTTTGATAACCTCGAGATCTTCGACTTTGCGGACGGCAAGATTGCGAAACGCGATGAGGACGCCGAGGAGGAGCTGGATTGCAAGGTGTTCCCAGGCGACCCGGAATGGCCTTCCGAAGCCACCTGGGACCTGTTTAACATCCTCATCGACGGTGCCCTGCGCAAACCGTTGCCTTTGGCGTCGGTCTGCTACGACGGCGCATGGGGTCCAGTCGACCAGGCAGAATGCGAGAGAGTCGCGTCCCAATGGCAGACATCCCAGTTGCAGTATGTGATAAAAAGAAATTGAAAAAAGATAAAAAACAAAAAGGGAGAGAGAGAGGGGGGGAGAGCGAAGGGAAGAAAGACGTCTCTGACTTGTCTTGAATAGTTTTGAACACCCGACCTCAGTCATGTCCCCTCTGTTAGCGGGCAATACTTGCCCCCCCACCGGCAATGCGAATAATATCTGCACCATCGGAGGGCTCCCCGTCTATGCTGTCGAGGCAACCGACGTCATGCAGATCCAGCTCGCCGTCAATCTCGCCCGTAACATGAACCTTCGCCTCGTCGTCAAGAACACGGGTCACGACTTTGGCGGCAAGTCGGCCGGTGCTGGTGCCCTGTCTGTCTGGACCCACCGGTTGAAGGACATCCAGTTCTATCCCGATTACAGGACGTCGTGTTACCAGGGACCTGCCTTCAAGATGGGCTCCGGTGTTCAGTCTCGTGAGGTGTACGAGGCTGCTGACGAACATGATGTTATCGTCATGGGCGGAGAAGGAAGGGTTTGTTGCTCTCCTTTCGCGGCGAGGACATAAACGGGTCATGTCCTGAAAGGTCACTCTTTGCTAACGGACCTTGTTTCTGTAGACCGTCGGTGCCATGGGCGGCTGGACGATGGGAGGCGGACATTCCCCCTTTTCTAGCTTGTGGGGTATGGGTGCCGACCAGGTAAGCACTGAACCAGTCTCTCACGCTCTCACGCTCTCACGCTCTCACACATGCCGCTGACCGGGAGACACCCAGGTCCTCTCTATGGAGATTGTGACTCCAGATGGACGATTCGTTACAGCCAGCAGGGAAAGCAACCCTGACCTCTTCTGGGCCCTCTGTGGTGGCGGCGGTGGTATGTTTTTGTTTTCTCCCTCCTTTTTTCTCTTCTTTCTCTCCGGTCTTCTAACGCAAAAGGCACAGGGACGTGGGGCGTGGTCACATCCGTCGTCGTCAAGGCGCACCCGCAGCCCGAGAAGATGGCGTCGATGAGGTTTACCGTCGCGACGGGAGGGGCCGTTACCGTCGACGCCTTCTGGGCGGCCATGCGGCTCTACTTCAAGCAGCTCCCGGACTTCACCGACAAGGGCTTCTACCACTACTTCTTCCTCTTCAACTTTGGCGGGAGCTACCTGTTCATGATGGGTCCGTGGTTCGCGCCGACCATGGGACGCGACGAGCTTCTCGCCGAGACCAAGCCGCTGTTTGACGCGTGGGCCGAGCTCGGCGTGGTGGTGGTGCCGGAAGTGCAGGAGTACACCGGCTTCCTGCGCTTCTGGGAGGAGAACCTCGGCTCGGAGACGGCGGGCAACCCCAACACGCTGACGGCGAGCCGGCTCTTCCCGCGCGAGAACTTCCTCGACGAGGCCAAGTTCAACCGCACCTGGGACGACGCGCTGCGGTGGTCCGTCGAGGAGAAGGGCAGGCACCTCCTCGGCTTCACCATCGCCGGTCAACCCCCGCACGGCCGCCACCCGAACAACAGCGTCAACCCGGCTTGGCGGTCCGCGGCGCTGCACGCCATCACGGCGGCGGCGTGGGACGACGGCGCGACGGCCGAGGAGCGTTCCCAGGCGGCGTGGGAACTCACCAACGTCATTACCGAGCGGTGGCGCGAGGTCACGCCGGGCGCGGGCGCTTACATGAGCGAAGCCGACCCGTCCGAGCCGAACTTCCAGCAGTCTTTCTACGGCGACAAGTACGACCGGCTCTTTGAGATCAAGAAGGCGTATGACCCGCACGGCGTCTTTTATGCGCACACGGGCGTCGGAAGCGAGGAGTGGTTCGTGACGGGCCAGGATCCCAATATTCCCACGCAGAATGGACGGTTGTGTCGTAAGAGGTGATGATGTATATACGGTCGAGGAGGTATCATGTTAAGAGAGAGCAAAACTCGTAAGGGGAGGCCATTGGAGTTTCCGTTTCCATCAACTGTATAATTCTACAGCACGAATATACCACAACTCGGGTTAAAAACGATAAAACACACACGCAACTCACATTTCAACGTTCCTCGGCCTCTCACCAGGGTATAACAGTGGACTTTCGAGAGGGGAGAGCATCTTGAGATCCAGTTGCATGTAACGTCTACGCATCGAAGCTGTCAATCCCAGAATATTTTCCCCGTATTACTGCTCCGATTTCCTAGTGTCTAGCAGCATCATAGCTAGTTTCCATACACATTATGGCTCACCAGCCAACCCGGGGGGGGAGCGGGGGGGAAGGGTCAACGCCGCTTGGATCTCCCCAAGGCTCTTCACAACAATCGTATGAGACCCAGAGGGATCTGTGGCATCGACGGCTATGTACTTTTCGGCTCGCCGCAGACGAGATGGGATGGACAGATGACCGCCTGCTGGATCTTTACGTATCTTATGTATGGAGCAAGTAAAAGATCGTCGCCGATATAGCCGTATGGTGAGCAGCGATTGGTGATTGGTCAATGGATGGTAGGGCTGTGCCATATCGGCAACCGAGGGGAGTCGACATCCGGGCTCCTTGCCCTGTTACTCTGGGGCACCAAAGGGTCGGGGACCGAGTTGGAAGTTGGATGTTAGGATGACTGTAAATTACAAGTACTCCGTAAGTACGAAGTAATACGTAAGACATGATCAGGTGTCTTTTAGTCCAAGGTACCTTAGAAAAGACATCAGCAGTATTTGTCATCGTAATATTTCGGTTAGTATTGCTTTTTGTACCTGATATCCCTGCGAAAGTGCGAGCCACTTGGTCCCCTCTAGGAGGAATCAAGGAAGCGCTATGCAGAACGTGCAGTGATTAATAAGGTACCTTAGTTACAGTGGTTGCATGCTGTGAATTTTCTCCGTGGAGCCATTACCTTAAGGTTGGTAGCCATTGCACGATATACTCCTTACTTTCTGCTAATGGCAGCAAAGTGTCGCCTCATCTGCAAGGATTCTTCATATCCGTACCGTAGCCCGTACTTCGAAACCAATGCAAGGCATAAACCATCCGTATCATCTGAGTGAACCAATCCCTCGGAGTCGGTGAGGAAGGGACGGACTAGCTGATGATTGGATTACAACGTATGGCTGAGTCGACGCCACCCCCGAAGGTGACAACTCACCACGCAGAAAACACAGGGTACAGGGGTCGTTGAATCCAGATGGGATCATCTCTGATCCACTTTCCCCAGCCTCCCTTTTTCCCCCCGTCTCTTTAGAAGCTCTGTCTCTTCGCTCATCCGCCTCATGTTACTTTGCTAATTGAAGGTCAATGGATGCGAAAACCAAACGAGGTGACGACGGTCCCAGTGGGAAACCCGGTATTGTCCGTCTCCCATACCGCATCCCTTGACGTATATGGAGGTGCATTAAGGGATCATCCTAAGGACATGAATATTTACATCATCCATTCCATCGGTCGGTCCACTTAGTTTTGCCTCGTAACGCGTGTGCCATAATACGTGTAGACCAAGTTTTCCCTGGGTTGCTGGGTTGCCTTGGAGAGCAAACGATAGGAAAATAGGACAGACTCTCTGCCCCTGGCAAAGCTGCCAAGGTAGGGATCGCGATGATCCGAGACAATCAGATATTTGTACGAAGTATTTTCGTATCCCGTAACTTGCCTACTTGATCTTTTCTGGTGCATCTCAATCAGTTCCTTCGTTTGTTCGGTCATCTGTCCGTTCGCCTGCACGACTTGGATACAGCAGAAGAGCACTCCCTAATTACCCTCATCTTATATTTCTCTTTGGGTCAGATACAGTTCGTCAGTCATCAATCGTCAATCTGCAGTCACAACCTGGAAGGCAAGGGGAAGGCGTACGGGAAGGGAAGGGAGAACGGCGTAAGAAAAAAGAAAGAAAAAAGAAGAAGAAAAAAGAAAAAGAAAAAAAAAAAGAAAAAAAAAACGGTTCCTTCCACCAAGGCGCTCGCTAGATTCGTCCTACGCTAAGAGCGGAAGGCACGAACTACAAAGTTACTAGAGGGAAGGCGGCACACTGGGGTTATCGGCGCCTGCAGTTACCTACCTATAACGTAACAGTCCTGACGTACTAACCAAGCGAGCCTTCCAAGGGTACCCAACTTCAAGCCATCATCACTTCAACATCGCCAAAACACACCACCCAATTCCAAAACAAACCAGAAAACAATCTGCTAATATCCGTGGCTCACGCTCAACAAGTCCGTTGTTCTTCTCTGACGATTGTGCATTTTCTCCTGTTATGAGGCAAATCGCATACAGCACGACGGAACGAGGCAGATCTGATCACTGCCAAAGTCCCGACATCACTAGCCTGGGCACTCGTTGGCAGAAACATCTCGTTTCGCACAAAAGAATACGGATACGGATAATCAGGCAGAATACGAAGCCATTATCTTGTTCTTTTTGCTCTACCTGACGGTCGAGCGAGACTTTTTTTGTTCTGCTTTCTTTTGTTCTTTTTTTTCTTCTTTTATTAATTAATTAATTACCCTGGTTTTGGCGCATAGGCGTGTCGTGTCAGCTCTCTCGCCTTGTCACGACCTCATTCGCCTAGCCACCTCTTTTTTTTTTTTCCTCCTCGTCACCTTTCCCGCACACCCACACCGGGAACAACCACAACCTGCGTCCCCGTTTCCAGCCTCTTTCATTTTGGGGGTCACCACCAAGGGTCAATCTTCAGCCCCATTCCCGTTGTCTCGGGTCCCAGTTTAACAACGTTGGACGTTTTCTTTCTCTTTCAGTTTCCCTTACTCATATCTGCTTGCGAGCTTTCAGCATTGGCATTTGGCATTTGGCATCTGGCATTTGGTATGTGAGTACGAAGTAGCTCCCTCTCCATTCTACTACATAGTTGCTTTCCCTTCCCTCCTCTTTCATTTGTTTGGGAGAAACGCACCGGCCCGAACTTGTTCAGTTTGCTGGACTCGGCAGACCTTGTGCTGGGTTTTGACCGCCGTCCAACCAAGCTAGCTCGGAGCCCAACCAAGCTCGGGCTCACCATCTACGCCGGAGGCAAAGGCACTGCAAGCCATTGAGCTTGCCAGAAATGTCGCTTTCTCTGGAGATTCTGTGGAAGCTGACCAGTGACTCCTTGCGTTTTAGTACTCGCGTTTTTCAAGTTTGCGCCCTTGCACATATCGACAGCATCCTCATCACCATCCGTGGTGGTGACACACACCCGTCGCCTTGTCCAACCTAGCAGCTCCCTCGGGTGCCCTCGGAGACGCCGCCAAGGTGTCCGACCAAGGCCCCTTTCCACATTTTAACGACCGTCACGAAATTCACGAGTCCACGACCCCTCCGCAACAGCACCGACACCAGCGCCAGCAGCCGAGGCTCGCATCATCCATTCCATCAGATCTTGCCGATAGAACTCCGTCCCCTAGCTCCTCCCAAACCCCAACTCTTCGCCGTACTCCCCGATTCGAGGCGCCTCCCACGCCCACCCCCGCCCCCTCTTCTCCTTCGCGCCGCATACACGTCGAGGCCGCATCTGTTGGTTTCAGCCACGGGATCCAGCTTGCGACGGCAGATGCCCCCCAACCTGTCCGCGCCCAGCCCCCCGCAGCCGCCGGCACGGTACGACCGCCTCGGTCTCAAAGCCAGAACATCCAGCCTACAAGAGTTCTATCTCACTATCTGACCGAAGACCCTGACGATCAAGCGTCCTCCGGCAGAGCCTCATCCCACCCTCCCCCTGTCTCTCCCCCTGCCTCTCCCCCTACCCAGCGACGAGCCACGGCGGATCTTCATCCAGCCCTCCGAATTTCCAAGCACACCCACAGTGCTATTCTCTTTGCGCTCGAAGAGGCACTACGGCACCCTCATCCGTTCACCCCCGACCTCGTCGAGGAAAGCGCATCCATGGCTGACCTCATGGGCGGCCCTGGAGGCCCGTCCTCGTCCCACGGCAATGCCGCCCCATCTGCTCGCCCTCGCCCAACCGGTGCCCCTGCGCCGACCGGTTCTCCGTCCGGTATTCGAGGTCCTCGGATGATCATGCAGGAGCGAGCAGCTCGGGAGGCCGCCCGCCAGCGAGCGGAACAAGAACAGATGCAGCTAGAAAGACAACGTGCCGAGGAAGAAGCTCGACTTTTGGAAGAGGCTCAGAGACGGAATTCTCAACGTCGAGCCGCCGCTGCCGCTGGCGCTGCTGTAGGAGGACTACCCGGTGCTGGGCCCCCCGAACATGTTCACCAACCCGATCCCACCACCCCCCAACGCCGACCCGCTGGCCTGCGTACCGACATCCCGTCTGCCACTCGTCCAATGCACGACTCTTCTCGACGCCGGGGGCCCTCGGCGACTCAACCTCAGCAGCAGGGATCCCCACCCACCCGGGCATCCGCGTCACAGGTTCAACAAGGCCAAACTGCCCCCGGCGCTGCACCGGCCCTCGGCACCTCTCAGCAACAAGCGACAACTGGTGCCCAGGCCGGTCAAACATCTGCTACTCCCGCCGCCGGCGCATCGAAGCCTAGGAACTCGTTCCCTCACGCGTTTGAGCGCTGGGAGACTCTGTCTGCGCACTGGGAGGGTCTGACCAACTTTTGGATCCGACGCCTCGAGCAGAACAACCAAGACATCGAACGCGACCCCATCAACCAGGCCTTGTCTCGTCAAGTCACCGACCTGTCTGCGGCCGGAGCCAACCTGTTCCATGCCGTGGTAGAGCTTCAACGCCTCCGCGCCAGCTCGGAACGGAAGTTTCAGCGATGGTTCTTCGAGACCAGGGCCGAACTGGAAAGGGCCCAGGAAGTGAACGCTATGCTGGAGAATGCGCTTAACGAAGAGAGACGTGCCCGGGCGGAGGCGATTCGAGAGGCGGTGGCAAAGGAGCAAGCCAGCTCGATGAACAAGACGCGGTTCGAGGAAATGCGAAAGGAGCTGCAGATCTCCAAGGAGGAGGCCCGGCGCGCCTGGGAGGAGCTCGGCCGACGCGAGCAGGAGGAACGCGAACGCACCATTTCTTTGCAAAACGGCCTGCCCACCATTGTTGGAGGCGTCCAAGTGGTCCCCATGACGCATGGCGTGCCCACCCGCCACGGTAGTTCTCAGCAGGGCGGAGGCCAGCAAAGCGGCTATGGGCCCGAGTCGGCCGCTGCCGCTGCCGCCACTGCGCCAGCCAGCGATGAAGGTGGTTACTACACACAACAGCACCGAGGCACGGACCCCGAATATGCTGGCGGCTCCGAGGGCGGCTACGGCGAAGGTGAGTACCAGATGGACGTGCAGGGCAACTTCGCCGGCGACCAGCGGGGGGATAAGGCCCCCTTCGAAGCTCCTCCGTCTCCCGTTTCTGACGAGGGCGCAGAAGACTACGCGACTCCTGCAGCCCACCCTCCCAACACCGGCTACATGCAAGCAGGCACCGCGTCGCCTAGCCGGAATCAACCCCAACCGCAACCGCAGCAACAACAACAGCAGCAGCAGCAGCAGCAGCACGGCCAGTATTATCCGCCGCAGCAAGACTACTCGGGCCAAGGCTACGCCGCTGCCGGGTGGGAGACGCTACCCCGGCATCATCATCCTACCAGACTTAGTGATGTCATCGAGGAAGATGATGAGCGGAGCCGCACGAGTGCCAGCCACAGCCGCGTCTGATATCGCTCACTTGCAGGTGTCATGGCCATGAGCCGTCAGTCAAATTTGCTCCTTCCCAGTTTGTTCACGGGTCGTGGGCAAGATTAACCATAAACACCCATGCGGATGGCTCCTTGGATTTGAGGGGCCGAGAAAGCACAGCCACAAGCGGAGTATGGCACAGCAAAACAACATTTCGAGCGAGAATAAAACTGCTAAAAACTCATGATCAATTGGGGCCTGATACAAATCTGGCTCGTAACAGCGTCGCAAAAGCAAGCGAAAAAAATATAAGAAAAAAAGGCCAGCTGAAATGGAAAACACGATAAGAACAATTTGTCTGGATTATCGCCGGAGCCGGATTGTACATACATAGAAGGGAGCAAGGGGGCGGACGGGATTCTCTTGCACAGCTGCTGCATCATCTCCGGAAGGGTTTTTTTTTGTCTGGTGGAAAATCCCCTGGCATAGGCGTGTTTGTGTGGATAGGGCTTCTTCTTTTCTTCTGGGAGGCGACATCATGTGAACTTTGACACGGAACAGAACAGCTAATTCATTGAAACCGAGCGACGTCCCGTGGACGATAATCGACCATTGCCCCTTCGAGTCCCTTCGAGGTCCTTTATGTTCGGGTGCAGAAACTTGGGCATCGCATGAGCTGGCAGTGGAGAGATATTGGAGGCAGCGCGTTGGAGGACGGACATTGGGTGCAGGAGCATGGAAGGGTGGCGTTGCGCGTTGCACATTCCCTTTGAAGGCGACTTGCTGATCCTTCCGGTATATCAGAAAAGAGCAGAAGGGGAATCGCGTGTATTCTAAGCACTTAGGTGTCAGAGGCTGAGCTTGGGGAAATAATAAAATACACAGATGAAAACCGCAGTAGGTATCCCGGGTGGGGTGGACATGGACGATGATTCTAGACGTGTTTGGGTGGAGTCTGTCCGTCCATCCTTGCTAGTCACTCGGAATTTCATACAACACCTCGAGGCGGTATGATGGAACGAGGCGTGTCCCGAAGTGCAGCGTGAGATGAAGGTACTGGAAGGGGATGCTGGGAAGGATAGCAACTCGGCCGGTAGTGCGGAGTATGAGTTGGGCGGGCTTAGTCTGATAAGACCATAAGACCGGAGGGTAAGCCAAGGAGCCAAGAGATCGACTTATTCACGGGATGTGGGACTAACTCGGCGAATTCACAGGGTTTCTATTGGTGGCAGTTGAACCAATGCATGGCATAAGGTATGTCATGGCAGCACTGTTCAGTATCTGGCATGTGTACCTCAACTCCTTGTTTCACGTATCTTTAAGGCGGCGATCGTCATTGCCGGATACTTGATGGGGAACCTGGCGGTCTTTCCTGGTCCCATGACGGGTGTATTTTGTCACCACGGGGGCTGATGGTAGTACACTACACTAGTGCTGAGGGGAAGGCTACTGGCTTCAAGGGAAAGAGATACATACAAACGCCCATACCTACATGTACCCTACCTCGTGTTCGGGGGAGAAGAACGCCCGAAAAAAAGGGCTGATGGCTTCGCTGAGAAGGAAAAATGCAAGCGTCTCATGTTCCTCTGGACAGCGAATCAAACGGCAGGGTCCATCCATTTGAGTCAGGCTGCCTCATCATACCTAAGGTATTTCGTTATAAGGTAATTATTTCTCTTACTTTACCTTCATCCACCTCCAATTCAAGATACACGATACCTAAACCATCACAGACCTTCTCTGTGGGGGTTTCAAGCCTGTTCTGTTAACGAGGGTTAGTAGTATCACCCATAATCAATTCCTTTCGTTTAGACATCCCGCCCCTGCTTTATATGTATTGAAACGGGGGAAAACGTGGACTTGAACCGTCTGATAGCGAGCCGTAAATGCTAACGTCTCGGGTGTTGGGGTGCCTGGGTGGTCAGGTACCGGGCCAACCAGGAAACTAGAAAGAGAAGCTGTCAACGGCCGGACCGAGTCAAATCGAAACCTTAAAACTGAGACCAAGTGAAGGAGGGGCCAGGACCTGAGACTACCCAAGGAACCAGAAGCCCCAGGAACCATATTCATCATGAGGCAGCCAGGTGTCTCGTTCGCTACGGCTTTGCATGGCTTTTCCATCATCCTGGGCGGCTTAGGGGGCGTAAGGTCCGCCAACGCCGCTGCCGCCTCTACCTCTGCATTCGAACCATCTCTCAAAGTCGTCTCACAGACCTTCCACAAGCTGAAGCTCCCACCCAACGTGGTCCAGATCACCAAGACGAAGCGCGACAACACCCTCGACCTGACAGCCATCAACAACATCACGGGCGGGGGTTACTATGCCGAGGTAACCGTTGGCACCCCGCCCCAGCAAATCGTCATGCACCTTGACACGGGCAGCTCCGACACCTGGGTCGTGGCCGCCGGCGCGGACTTTTGCGGCAGCGACGCCCTCCAGCGCCAGTACGGATACTGCACCGATACCTTCGACCCGGATGCCAGCGACTCGTACGAGACGGCCGTCCCTGGTGGCTTCAGCATCCAGTACCTCGATGGGAATCGAGTGCGGGGTGACTACTTCACCGATCGCATCTCGGTCGGCGGCCAGACCATCGAGAGCCAGCAGATGGGGCTCGGCACCGACCTGCAGCGTCCCTCCGGCCTTATGGGGTTGGGGTTGTCGGATTTCGTTGCTGCGAATCGGCCCTACGCTACGGTGCTTGAGAATATGGTCGCCCAGGGATACATTGGTCGTGCTGCTTACAGTGTTTGGATGGTGAGCAAGTCTTTGGCCCTTTTCCAGTCAGTCGTACGTACTGACTTAAAACCACAGAACGACCTGAGTGCCGACGAGGGCGAGATTCTCTTCGGCGGCATCGACACGAGCAGGTACTACGGCAGACTTACCACCCTTCCCATCATCCCAACCTTCGATGGTACGACACGCTCCCATTACACCGTATCCCTCGGATCCATCAGCATACGAAACAGCACCGATGCCGACCCTGAACTCATCACCCCCTCCACCTTTGGCGGCCGCGCCATTCTCGACACGGGCTCCACCCTCAGCCTGCTCCCTAGCGACGTTGCGGAGTCCATCTTCTCTGCTTTCGGCATCGACAACAACTACGGCGTTGCCCTCGTCGACTGCGAACTGGCCGGATCGCAAGGCGACGGTATCGCCCTCGACTTTGCCTTTGACGACGACGGCCCGGCCGTCACCATCCGCGTGCCCATGCGCGAGATGGTGCTCGACATCATCGGCTCGGCCTCCCTGGCCGGCACGAACCTCCCTTTCGACGACGCCTGCGTCTTCGGCATCCAGGACACCGCCTTATTCGGCGTCACCGCGGAGAACGGCGGCGATGGTTTCGTCCTCCTCGGCGATACCTTCCTGCGCTCCGCGTACGTCGTCTATGACGAGCCCAACATGCAGGTCGGCATCGCCCAGGCCGTCCTCGGCGATGACGTCTCCGCCGATTCGAGCGGGGATATCGTTGAGCTGGCTTCGGGTCAGAGAAGCATTCCTACAGCGACCGGGGTGGATCCCAGTAGGGCCTCGGATAACATCGTCAACCACGACGAGGACGATGGGGATGACGATAACGCTGCTGGCAGGATAGGAGAGGGAGGGATGGCGGGAATGGGTGTCGTGGGAGCCTCCGTGCTGCTTGCTTCTTCCGTGGTTGTTCTCACGGCTGTTTTGTGAGGCGGTTAGACCGGGTCAGACTGGGATAAAAGAAATGTGAAATGAAGTACGCAGCGTACAAGGAGTTCTGTTCTTATCTTGGGAAATGCGTTTAAATCAAGACTGAACGTAGCGACAGCTCAGCCCGTCGACATGATAACGGGGTCCGTCGACTCCTGAGTAGCATCAAATGAAAGAAGAAAAAGAAACTTGTTCTTGCCACCCCTCCCCCTCTGTATTCCCTCTGTAGAACCGATACTCACCATCCAAGCCATTCCTCCCCATACTCCATAAAACGCCCTTTTTACCTGCCAGCCAGTCAAATTCTCTGAGGCATCCTTTCCCTCGCCTCCACTTCGGAGACGCAATGAGTTTCTTGGACCATCAACCGTCCACACTTCCCGTCAGCTCATCTTGTTGTACCGCTCTCTCGCCTTCTGCTGCGCGACAGTCAGGTAGTCAGCGTAGCTGTTGGTGGTATTCCGCTGCGCCAATTCAGCCGCATCTCCCAGCTTTCCTCCTTCGGCGCCCAAGCCGACGCCTTCCTGGTACGCGTGGGTGGCGATGACTTCGGTGCGGCCCTCGCCGTTTGCGCCCAGCCCTTTTCCGGATGTCCAGCCCATCTTGGCCAACATCGCCGAACCCTTGGATGGCGGTGGTGCTGCCGCAACTGCTGCCGCTGTCGTTGCCGCTGTCGTTGCCGCTGCCGCTGCCGCTGCCGTTGTTGCCGGGGATGGCCCGCTCGGCTCGCTGGGTTCCCGCGCCGCAGAAGAAGACGAGGTCTGCTTCCCAGTCGGCGCGGCCGTTGGCTTGGCTGGCTGGTTGAACACCTCGCGGCGTTCCTTGGCGCGGTCGCGATACTGGGACGTGGGACCCGAGTTTTCCTGTGTCCCCGTCCCCGTCCCCGTCCCCGTCGCCGCTGCGGCCTTTTGCATCCTCTTGTCGCGTGCCGCCAGCCTAGGCAAAGCCGCCTTCACTTTCTCTTCATCTGCCGTGGCCATCTTGTGATTCCGGGATTTCTCGTGCGTGCCGAGGTCGTCGAGGTTCTTATACTTCATCATGCAGATGAGACAGCATACCTTCTCGCGATCGACGTAGGAGACGGCGGGCGTTTCACCGGGATTCGGAGATTGTGTCGTCGCTCGGGCTGCCGTACCAGATGAATGGGCGGGTACATCCTGCGCCGGTGCAGGCGAGATGCTTTGCGCGGCAGCAGCAACTGGTACGGCCGACTTGGGTGCAGCAATGGCTACTGAGCTCTTGACGGAACCTTGTTGGGATGCGTTAGATCCCGAGAGGGAAATCTTCACGGGGACACGGTCGCCCGACGTAGCGAGTGCGTTATCACTTTCCCCGGTCGCCGTCTCGGATGACTTCTTCCCCACATGAAGCTCATCGTGCTTCTTCTGCCAGAGGGCCATCTGACCGATCATCGGCGCCGGGCGCTTCCCCGACGCGGGAGGCCCGCTCCCCTCTGCCTTGCGCTTCTTCGCCTTCTTCAACTCGGCAGCTTGGTCTTCGCTTCCCTTGGCCAACTTTTCCGATTTCTCCAGCTGTGCCCTTTCTGGCGAGTTCTCTGTCACTATGTTTTGGCTCGGAAAGGCGTGCGGATCCCAGTACTTGACCCTGATGGTGGGGTTGAACAGGGGCGCGAATGATAACTTCTCGATGGCAGGGGTGATCTCTCTCTGTTCGGGAATAAAAACACCGAGGTGGATGGTCGAAACGTTCACGGCCGCCGAGGCAATGGTGAACTCTCGGTACTTTTTGAATTTCGTCACGGCCGCAAGCGCATCGTCCACGGTCCAGAACTCGGCGAAGCCAAACTTGAACGATTCGTTGGTATCCCGGTCTCGCATGAGGAAGACGCGGTGGAGCGAGCCGGGCTTGGCACCGTATCCAGTGGTGTCACCAGTCGGCGCGGTGGACTTGAGCTTGGGCGCTCCATCTCCTGGTTTCTTCGGCGCAGCCGGTTTTTCTTCCAGTTGGAGTTTGGCGACACCTGCAGCAAGGACCTCCTCCGTCACCGAGGCCGCCAGCGGGAAGAACACGAGGATCTGCGAAGGGGTGTCGGAAGCATCGCTTTCGCCGGTAAGGGTGGGTCGGAACATGGACGTATCTAGTTTCAGTTTCCTTTAGGGGAATGCGAATCCCAAGAGAAGAGAAGAGGGGAGGAGAGGGGAGGGGAGGGGAGGGGAGGGGAGGGGAGGGCCTGTTGCGTACCTGTCTGGAGCGCCCCGCAGCTTTTGCAACGGGTCCGTGTCGCAAAGTTGGAAAAATCGCACTTGGCGTGTGTTAGACCAGCGTACCGAAGCATCGACGGTGTTCTGACGAGAAGAAGAAGAAAAAAAGAAGAAAAAAGAAGAAAAAAGAAGAAAAAAGAAGAAAAAAGAAGAAAAAAGAAGAAAGAAAGAAAAATAAAAAACTCACCACTGTGCATGTCCAGCTGCCCGGATCCTCGCGGTTACGGGCGTAGTGGATGTACACGGGGGTTTTGCCGCTGGCGTCCCCGTCGACCAAGCCGGCAAAGTCGAGTAGTAACCTGGGGTAGTTGTCTTGGATGAAATCCACGGCGTCGTTCAATTGATCGTACTGCACGAATGCGCGGCGCCCTAGAGTTGGTTGTTCAGCAATTGTATGCAGTTGTACCAAAATATGCAAAGAAAGATCAGGGGGGGGGGGGATAGGGAGGGACCAACCTCGCCCAAGCGGGACGCGCACGTCAAACGACGGGCACCGCGACGAGCCATAATGACGTGTGAGAGACTCCCGAACCTGCCAGCAACTGACTGTGAGCCACCCGACCTAACATGTTGACTTTTCAATTGGCAAGTAAGAGACAACTTACATCATCCGTCGATACGTCTTTAGGGAGCCCCTCTAGTATGATGGTGTCGGTAGGGGCGCCAGCGTTCCGAGCCGGGGATGCAGAGCGGGTATGGCGAGATTGGCCGTCCGGGCTGTATCGCGAGTCAGAACGACGGTCACGGGGATCATCATCGCGACCAATGTCAGAATGACGGGGCCGAGAATACGATCTCTCTCCTCTGTGCCTGTCTTCCCGGCCACGGTAGTCGGCCGAATGATGTTCGTCCCCGTAACGGTAGTCGCGGCGAGAGTCGTGGCCACGATAATGGTTCTGTTCTGACCGGTCATCGCGGTCCCTGTCCCCGTCATATCGATCCCTGGAACGCGAACCACGAAAATCCTTGCGGTCGCGTCCATAGCGCACGGCGTCCCGCTGTCGGTCCCCGTCTGGGTGGTCGTCGTATGACAGCTCGTTCCTGGCGGGAGACCTAGAATCGTCTCGTTGGCCCGTGGGGATGTTAGCCATTACGATCAAACCAGCCTGAATCAATCTATGGTAGGTCTATTTCCCGTGTTCCCGTGTTTTCCGTGTTCTTCCTCCCCCAGGGCATTGTTCGGATCAGGTCTTTACCCTGGCGAGTTCGGTAGTCGTCGCGATAGTTCTGGTACTGGTCATGGTGAGAAGTGCGATGGTCGTAATGATGACTTTGTTGATGCCTCCAGTGGTTCAAATCATCCCTGTCGCATTTATCACGCGGTGATGATCTGCGAGCGTTATCCTTGCCGTTGTCGTTGTCGTTGTCGTTGCCATTGTCATTGTCCTGATGATATCTGCGGTAGGGCGGACTGCCCTCGCGCTGCCTCGAGTGATCGGACATCTTATCACCGCAAACTTGAGATACGGTGTAATGGAAGCCTGGTTATTGCATTGGCGGAAATGGCAAAGCCGACATCAGGAGGTTTGGGCATGCCGAAACCACAAAGGGCTTGTGAGTGTTAGAAGAAGTAAGGATCGGAAGCTGCATTCAGAAACGCCCCCAAACATTATGCCTGTGGACTTAAAAGGAACAATGATAATCCGCCTACGGTCTTAGGTGATACCTTACTAAGGTACCTGATGATCTGATAAGATAAGCCAGGGCTGGAGATTCCAGCGTAAGTGTCGCATAGGCACACGGACCACGACGTGGTCTATAAGGGATCCAGGGGGGATCCTGTCGCACGTCAAATAGGCACTTGAATAATCAACTTAGTAGAGCAGAAATCTCGTGTGTGTGTATTATGTCCAGTTATATCTAGGAGAGTCTCTTATACCCTTAATTTTAGGTGGTAAAGACTCTGTTATAAGTACTAAGTTATTTAGATCCTATTCGGTCTTTTCTGGTATCTGCCCCTATTATATCCGAAGCCCTTAGTTATAGCGTGGATCCCCCCTGGATCCCTTATAGACTACGTTATGGTCCGTGTGCCTATATAATATACTCCCTTAGTTAAGGTGGGTCTTCTTAGGTTAACTAACTAATTAAAGGCTTCGGTTTAAACTAAACACTCTTAACTTTTCTATTATAAAATTAATAGTTAAGGGAAAACGCCCTTATAAAAGGTATCTAAATCCGCCCTATTTAACCGTTTAATTTAATTCTATCTTAATTAGTTCCTTAATCCTAATTAGCCGGATCTGCTTAATCTATATCTATCGGATCTACTACGCCCTCGGGGGCCTTCGTAGTCGCTATAGCCGTGGCTTTATATCAAAGGTATCCTTATCTAGAATAGCATAATAGTGATTAACCGACACGTCCTAGGTAAACAGTGGTTCGTCTATAGGTAATGGGTTTTAGAATACTTAGATTATTCGTTACCTGCCTCTAGAAAGAGGTCCCTAGGGCGCTCCTTTTATAGTTATCCGGGGTCTAACTAGAATCCTCCTGTCTATCCCCGCCTAACTTCCTTAATATAAGACTATTATACCTGATATCTTAACCTTTATTCTCCTATTAACTCCTAATAGTTCTACCTTTACCCTCCTATAGCCTAATATCCAGAAATCTAGATATAGTTTCGGCCCTTCTAGGTCGTGGTAATACCCCTCGTGGATACTATCCCTTAGGTATATAAAGCGATACTATAGCGATAACCTATTAACTCTAGGTATATCTACTAGTGGACAGGCCCTTTTAGATTATAGATATAAGTCTCGTGGATACTATCCCTTAGCTACATAATAGCTATACTATAATAACGACCTATTAACTCTAGGTATATCTACTAGTGGATAGGCCCTTTTAGGTCGTGGGTATAAGTCTTATAGGTGCTATCCCTTAGCTATACTATTAAGATAGTACCGTATAGATAACCGGTTAGTCCGTGATATATCTGCTATTATTAACCCGATAAGCTAAGTATATCTTATCGTCCCTTTCTTAGTATATCCGTGATATAATACCCCTCCGTAAAGCGCTTATCCTTAGGCGACTATTAGATAAAGTAGTAGATATAATAATAGGCTATATAGTATTAGTTAATAAATAGTTATTCACGAATAATAGTATTCCTTAGAGTTAAGAACCTATTATAGGTTAGTAGTTATCCCGTTATAAAGTAACTAAAAAGTATTTAGTTTAAAATTCTTTATTAATTTATTCTCCTAACTAAGAGCATTATTCATATCTTAAAGAGTTATAGGGCTTTATGAGTTAGATAATCTATAAATAATAGTCTTTTAGTAACTATCGTATAGGTAGTTAATATCTTAGCTCCCTTTATTCTATAAATATATATTAAGGAATAGGCTATAATACCAGGGAAAAGATACACCGTAACGGATAATACTATTCGGGCTTAATAGTTATATATTATTAAGACTTTAACTTAAGGAGGAAAGGGAGACTTTTCCCCTTTTACGCTAATATAGTAATTTAGTCTCGCCGAGTACTCGGCGATCCGACCTTATCTCCGATCTTATATAGTGCTAATCTATACTGCCACTTAGTTCCTTATAATATAGTAACTTAGGGAGGTAAGTGCTTTTACCTATTACTTAATAAGATAAAATAGAAGGTATAACGGCCTTATAGGCTATAGATATTATATTATACCTCCTAAAATCCCACGATTTTCTCTTTATTCCTCTGAAGCTATTATAATAACCTTAGTTTTTAGGTTATAGTAGGTAAGTGAAATCCTAGCTATAACGCTATTAACTTTTTATTAATCGAAGCGTTAACGAGGATTAGGTCCTTCGCGTTCCTTAGTTATAAACTCGGCGTTATATACTTCGTTAACTATTAGACTTTAGACAACGCCCGTTAAGGATACCCCTAGTTAATTAATTCTCCTTTTATAATAATATAATTCCTTTTATAAGGCTTCCTTACCTTCTCTATACTCTTACCTATGTTAGGAGACTAACGATTTAATAGCTCGCCGTTAATTCGTTAATATACCTCCTAAAACGGCACCCGAGAATACCGCCGCTATTAGCGCTAGTAGTAGTGCCCCCGCCGCGGGTAGTAAGCGAAAGGCTAGGGGTGCTACTAAGAGGGCCCCTAAGCGCGCGAAGACTATTAACGGTAGTACTGCTATTAGCGGTAATAGTGGTAGTATAACCGTATCGCCGGCCGGTTTTTCGGGAACTAATAATAATTCCACTACCTCTATTAATACTACGCCTAAGACTATCTTAATGCCCGCTCCGCCCTTAGCTCCTTTAATCGCGTCTCTAACCGCCCCGCCTACCGCTCCGTTAATGCCTAGTAGTCTAATAACTATTCCTCGGCCTATTATTCGTAGTGATATAAAGGATATAGGTTATAGCGGCTCCCTATAGGAGCCCTACGATTATTACGCCCGCTATTAGTATACTAAGACTAATTTTACCGTTACGCCCATTATTTTTTATTTATATTAATTTACCGAAAGTAGGTTAACCCTTTATTAGTTCCTTAGCGAGCGATAGCGAATATAGCTATATTTATAAAACGATCTACTAAGTATAATTACTACTAGATATAAGGTAGTAAGCCTTATAATAGGGTAAGTCCTATACCCCTTCCCTGCTATAACCGCTCCGCGGCCGACTAACGATTTATAGTTATCTATTAATACTCGTAAATTAGCTTAATTAATATAGAATAATATTATAAAAGTGTTTAAAGAAAATCGTAGCTTTACGGCTACTAAATAACGGTTATTAACTAAGGCTCGGGCTCGCCTAGGAGCCCTTGTTTTAGATTAGAGCGAGGCCCGTAACTAGATCCCTAAAGCCGAGCGGTTAGTTTATCGGTAATACGAAGTTAAAGCTAATTCGTAATTAGAAGCTTTTAAGGACCGTAACTATATTTTAGCTCGACTTATAGTGGCTATAGAGTAATAAATGGTTAAAAGCCGTACGATTAATAGCTTATTACGGGAGTTAGTTTAGAGTAATAAGGATTTAGTTAATAAGCCAGCGGTTATTATTAATCAGTCTAGCGGTAATAGTAATAAGGTAAGGGGTAATAACTAAGGTAACGGGTTAAATATAGGCGCTAAGTTAGATAGTCTATTAGCTAGTATACCGGCCTGTAGAACTTATAGTTAGAGCGCGATTAGTTCGGGGTTAGTTATTTTAATCCCCCCTTTTTATTTATTAGTGTTTAGTTTTTTTTTCTTTTTTCGCTTTTTGCTTTTTAGGGGTAATAATAGGGAGAGGCCTATTAGGTAATAGAATAAGTGCCTTTTTTATACGGAAATTAATTATAAGACGACTAGTTCCTAATCGCTAACTAGCTGCGTATTCTATTATAGTAGCAATTAAGGAGGTTATTCGGTAAATTCCTCCTAGGTTCCTATATATTTTCTTCGTGGCCGTAGTCCGCCCACTTAATAAGATACTACCGGCGCCTGCTATTATAATAATAAGCGAGGATATCTTTAATCTTATACTTATCTAACTCCTATAGTTCGACGTTTATATTCTTAGGGACCGGCGATTTACTATCACGGGACCGCTAGGGTTCTAATAGAGAAACTAAAAATACGTCGTGAATCTTTAATTTTAGTAGTAAATCCAGTTTATAAGCTAAGCCGTGCTAGCTAATAACCTTAGCGATACTGTAAGGTCCTAAGAACTTATCGGATAGTTTATAGTTAGGCCGCCGCTAGCGAATACTTTTTACGGAGAGTAGTATATACTTATCCTTAATAAAGCGTTTCTAAATACGGCCCTTATTATAATAGCGCTCGTATATAGTCTATACTTTCCGAATCAGGGCGTCTATTACTTCTTAGTTTATTAATATATATCGAACTCGCTATTCTATAGTAATTAACTTAGACTCCCCTTTTAGCTAAGATTATAACTTATATAGCCCACGTGGATTATAACCTATAAGTAAAATAGCCGGCGTATTATTTATAGTTAAGTGCTAGGAGGTATTATAGACGAACTAGGCGAGTAGGAGCTTATTTACCTAGTCGTTCTGCTTAAACATATACAACGTGTGTAGGTAGTGCTCGAGACTCTGGTTTTAGCGGTTAGTCTAACCGTCCGTTTATAGGTGCTAGGCCGTTAATAGCCGCCTATTTACCCCGAGGTATATATAGAGTATCTTCTAAAACCGGCTTATAAATAGTAACCCCCGGTTAGAGATAATACTATTAGGTAGACCGTACTTACTAAAGATATACGTTTATAAGATATCCGCTAGCCCGTCTACGGTTAATTTACTACTAGTTAGTATATAAATAGCGTACTTAGTATACCTATATACTTTTACTAAGATAGTATCTTATTTATATCCGCTATCGGTAACTAATAAAAGACCGGTAACGAAGTTAATAGATATTTCTTAGAATAGTCGCCGTGGAATAGGTAAGCTTTATATTATACTATATA